CCCCTCCAACCTGTCTTCTTTTCAGCATAAGATCTCATTTCTGGACTTTAAGAGTCTCTACAAGCTTCCCATTCAAGGAACAGACCCGCGCTCCTGGCTTTATGGTAAATCATACAAATTGGTCCTTGGGGACGGGAGACCACAGGACAGACGGGCTGAGCTGCACCCAAGCAGCCAGCAGGGCTAGAACAGCATGTGGGCCAGTGATGGAGTCCAGGCAACCGCGGAGGTTTTATTCTATTCAGGCTGTTAGTAACCCCTTTGTTATCAAAATAACCATGTCAGCATCAATAACCTGCTGATTATAAAATTTGTCCTCGGCAGAGGGAGAGAATTAACATTTTATGAATACTTACCATCTGTCAGCCTGGGTACTGCTAGCAATTCTGTGTTTCAGTGGTCAGGGACTCCACTGAGGTTCTGTAGAAACTACAAACTCTTTCTCTTAGAAAAAGGAAACATATACAACATTGTGTGTGGAATTCCAGGGTCAGAAGACTGCCCCAAAGCATGGGGCCCTCGGTGTGGAGGACAAGCCCACGGCTTGTCGCACCCACGCCCCACGTCAGAGTGCCTTGTTTAAGTCCTAGTGCCTTCTGTTCAGCTGTGCCAGGGAAGCAGCAGACAATGGCTCAACCCTTAGGTCCCTGCCACCCATGTGGGAGACCCGGATGGAATTCAGGTACCTGGCTGCAGCTTGCCCCGGCCCCAGCTATTGTGGGCACCTGGGGAGTGACCCAACAGACAGAAGATCTGTCTGCCTCTGTTGCTCTGCTTCCAAGCAGATGAAAATCCAAAAATAAACATTGGGGCTGGCACAGTGGTACAGCCCCGGCTTCCTAACACGCCTGGCAGGCAGTGGGTGACGGCTCACGTACCTGCGTCCCTGCTACCCACAAGGATGAAGTCCTGGCTCACAACTTCAACCTGGCCACCCCTGGCGTTGCGGCCATCTGGGGAGTGAAGCAGCGAGTGGGAAACCTCTCTCCCTCTGTCTCTCTCTCTGTCTCTCCTTCTCTGTCACTCTTCCAAATAAACTTTAAATAAAAAAAGAAAAGCCTCTGTGCTAGGCCCTTATGTTTGTTAAGTCCATCAACAGCAGGGCAGGGCTCAAAGGAAGAGACAAAGATCACCAGGGACATCCTGAGTGTCACATAATCAGCTGAGCTGTGCTAAATCCAAACTCACGATGGTAACCCGTAAGGGGAGCGTCAGGAGGCCGAGGAGGCAAGGTGAGCAGGCCATGAGTGGAGTCTTGGGGAATGAGATGGAAGCCTTATAAAGGACCCGGGGGGATTCCCTGCCTCTTCCACCACGTTCAGTGACTGGGAGAAGACAGCAGGCCATGAACCAGACATGTCTGCCAGCCCTGGCTCCTGGAAGCCTCCAGAAGAGCAAGAAGCTACTGCGGTGTGCAAAAGCCCCAGCACTGTCCAGGGCGGACACAGCAGCAAGAACCACATTGGAACCCCCTTCCTATCCCAAATGAAAATGTCACCCAATTCTTGCTGTTCCTGTAACCAAGAGCCCTTTCTCATGAGTGAGAAATATAGTTCCTGGGAGAACTTGGAAGCCACACAGCACCCTGGGCAGAGCTCCAACTATACCCATCCCCTCAGACCACTCCTGGGGCCTCTCCAGACCCTAGAACAAGAGGTCACCCTGTCCCCTCTCTTCAAAATGGACACTAAGGGGCCAGCATAGTGGCTTAATGGCTAAAGCCCTCGCCTTGAACTTGCTGGGATCCCATATGGCCATCCGTTCTAATCCTGGCAGCCCTGCTTCCCATCCAGCTCCCTCTTGTGGCCTGGGAAAGCAGTCCAGGACGGCCCAAAGCCTTGGGACCCTGCATCCACATGGGAGACCCAGAAGAACTCCAGACTCCTGGCTTTAGATTGGTGCAGCTCCGACTGTTGTGGTCACTTGGGGAGGAAATCATCAGATGAAAGATCTTCCTGTCTCTCCTCCTGTATATATATCTGACTTTGCAATAAAAATAAATCTTTTTTAAAATATTGGACACTAAGAGACGAAAGCTGGGGCCTGGTGGCATGGCCTAGTTGCTAAAGTCCTCACCTTGAATGCGCCGGGATCCCATATGGTTGTTGATTCTAATCCTGGCAGCTCCACTTTCTCTCTATCTCTCCTCCTCTCTGTATATCTGACTTTGTAATAAAAATAAATCTTTAAAAAAAAAAGAGACGAAAGCTGAAGGATATGAAACAAGGATGTTTAATTTCAGAATATTCCATGAATAAAAAAGAGACAATACATATTGCTTATTTACAGTTACATGTGTGTGTGTGTGTGTGTAGTCCAATAAAAACGAAACACCAAAACTGTGAAAGCTTCCTCTCTGAAGCCTCGGCTGTCTTGCTGGGCAGGCTTTGGGACAGTGCCATGGGACCCGTGTGAGGACAGTGTTGTCCTGGCGGGACTGTGCCCAGCATGGCTGGGGATCGCTCCAGAAGGCTTCTCAGCTCAGGCTGTGGCGTGCACACTTGTCTCCATGGTAACCTGGTCACTCCACCTCTCCCAGCAGAGTCCCACCAACCACAATGGTGTGAAGACCTTGGCCAGGCAGCCCCCTAGAGGGAATTTCCATCAAGTTCCTCATCAGCTCTTTGGAAAGGCTGTATACCTTTGGAGCCCCAATCTTCCCCAAATTATAGGGCAATCCAGCCAGACTTATCCCAGCTTAGATTTGGCTCCAGTATAATGACTAGAGGATAGAGGAGAATGGCAATGAGGCTGCCTCCTGGGGAAAGGTGCTCTGAATGGGAGCCCCAACTTCAGGCAGCCACAGGAGGCTGAAACAAAGCAAGGTCAGGTGAGTCCAATGATGGCCACATCCATGTCCACAGCCAGCTGCCCAGGCGCACAGTCACACGGCCTCTCAGAGTAGCATGTAGTTCTGACAGCCACAGGTCCTCCAGGAAGGCAGTCTCTGACCGTGTGCCAGCCCAGGCTCTAGAGAGCGGAGCTGAGTGGAGTGTGCTCATCCTTGGGGAGCATGACTCTGCTCACGCTCCCAGGCTGCCAGCCTCCCCACAGGCCGACAAGCAGCCATTTGGAAGCAGCCAGCAAGCCCCACGGTCACCAGCCTGCGTCACTCTGCCTCCCAGGTGTGGTCCCTCATCACTCCTGACCCCCTGGCCCCTCTGGACACATGTACACTGCCCCTTTACTATGTCTGTCACTGTGGCGCACATGGTACCTCTGGAGCCTTCTGTAACTGCTCCAAGGGGCTTCCAAGGACACCCAGGGGTCCCAGGGCAAAAGCCTACACTGTAACAGGCTAGACACACATTCCAGCTTATGACCGTGTCCTTGGGTGCTCACCTGTGCAGCCCTAACCAGGAGGCAGTCTACATTCCCACACATGGCCCCCCGACACTACATCAGGACCCACCACAATGACCCCAGAAAACAAGGGCATTTTAAAAAGCCGTGGGAGGAGGCTTTTTAAAATACCTTACAGATTTCAAACATTAGTTAAATATTGGCTCAAAAATAATACCTGCCCATCAAGTCACCAGAAGACAGCAACCTTCTGTGGCAAGGATCAAGGTCTGTCTGGGTTTTACAGAAGATTCCACAGGATTAGAACAGTTGCATATCAAAGGCAGAGGGCCAGGCTGCTTACTGCAGAAACTTGAATTCCAACTGAATCACAGTTTTTACATGAAAAATGACCTAGAAGTCCCTTCAAGCAAGGAAAAGCATATTCAATAAATAAACAAAACACAAATCCAAAAACATACACAAACCACCAGCGGGACTGGCTGGCTGAGAGCACCTTCAGGCAATGAACCGCTCTCTCACACCTTCACCCCTGCATTCCAGCCTCCTTACTGAGTCCCAGCCTCCCCCTGCACACAGCCCACAAAACTGAGCAGTGACAGGCAGGCACCACGGCCTGGCTCTGTTCCCTCCACCTGCAGCTAGAGGTGCTCACAGAGCACACCCTCACACCAACAAAGAAGGCAGCACCAGGGGAGGGAGAACACTGCTGGCCTTCTGTTTGAATCCCTGGTTTCTGGTGCAAGGATTTGGCATTTTGTTTTTCTTCATAAGGAAAAGAATCAAATAGAAACCTACACATGTGAATTTGCCAGGGAATATTTTTAAGAATGACATGAGACTGCTCCAGTGCAAGGGGCTTCCAAGCAACACTGCTCCTAAGCCCCAGTGTTCCTGATCTGTCAAACTACAAGCCCACACACTACACTGTTCCCTCTTGCTGTTCCAGCAGCCGAAGAACCAGAGAGAGGGCAGGAGAGGGAGGGCAGGAGAGCAGATGCAAAGCCAACCCTGCCCCCGGTGTCATCTTCCGTCTCAGCAATTCCAAAAGTCAGGCCAGTGAGCCACATTTTACTGGGCAACTGTTTTCTCTATGGCGACCTGTCTCGGCTCCAACACACAGGGGTGGCAGTGGTTACACAGCTTAACAAACCAAGCACAATCCCGGACACTCTCACCTGCTGAGTACTGTCTCTGAGCAGGGACTATGTCAGAGTGGACCGAAGTCATGCCATTGCTCACCTCTGACGTGAACACACCTAGCCCAAAAGCCAAAAGCTCTGGTCCCATCTCCAGCACCCAGCCACACCCACTATGAAAACGAGAAGGGTGACACACAACTGTCCCTGAGCACTGAGCACACCCTGCCCCCTCATACCAGCAGCCCTGCAGACAGCTGCCCACTTCCCTCCCTCTGACCCCACCCTGCTGCCAGGTCGTTCTGGGGCACCAGGCCAGCCTGCCCCGCCCTGGGAGCCAGCCCCGCCCTGGGCCCCCTCCAAAGTGCCCTGCCACATGCAATGATTGCAGCAAATATCATTAAGCAAATTTCCATCAAGCCACAATGACTGGGCACAGAAGTACCCCATTGGAACCAGAGATGTTGTTGGCGAGAGGAGAGTGAGTGATGGCTCATCAACCACACAACGATGCTTTTGTCACTCAGCAAAGAAGAAAGGGGAGGGAGGAAGAGAGGCAAGGAAGGGAAACAGTTTAATTACTGAAATTTGTTAAAAATGGTATGTCGTTCTGAATTCTTCAATATCATAGGTCAAATATGCCACAATATCAGACCCAAGAAATAATTTAAAATTCCCCCCAAAAAGCTGTTAGTTCTTTAGACATAAATAGAATAAGAAGGAATGCAGTCTCAGGAAACAAAGAGCTTCCCCTACCCCCAAGTGAGAAAGGCCAAAGACAGCTAGCTTGGAACCTACTGAGACCAGCAACCCAAAACATGGCTTATAAACACACACAAAAACAATGAACAGCCACAACACTATCAAAATAGAGTCCAAAACACCAATCGAAAATAAAATCAGTCCAGTAGAATTGATATTGCTCTTTTAAAGGTTACTGGCCATTGAGCACAGATTTTCTGTTTTCAAAAACTAGAATCTGTCTCTACACAGTGAAGGAACAGTGGGGCCTGCCAGGGCCTGCTGACTGACCGTGCTGCATAGGCTGGGGCTGAGCTGCTTCCAGAACGTTAGAGAGGGAGCCAGCCTAGACTCTCTCAGAAGGCACAGTTTGCACATCATCCAGTGAGTGGGGTTAGAGGTATCAGTCATGGTATTAGTTGACGTTCACAAATCAAAATGCAGCAAGCAAGCTGCCAGTCCAAGTTCCACCGTGAGTGGCAGTAACACTTGACCTGCTAGACAGCAAATTCTGTGTGGACGATAGCAGAATTCTGGATTCTTCAGAGGAATCCTAGGTTGAAGGAGAAATACAGTATTAGACATGACTACACACATTTTTTTAAAGATACATTTATTGAGGATGGTGCTGTAGCTCAGCAAAGTAGACCACCATCTTCAGTGCTGGCATCTCATACAGGCATCAGTTAGAGACCCAGCTACTCCACACTTTTTTTTTTTTTTTACTATTTTATTTATTTTTATTTGAATTGCAGACTTATAGACAGGAGAGACAGAGGGAAAACAGAGACAGACTGTCCATCTGCTGGTTCATTCCCCAAATGACTGCAACAGCAGAACCTGAGCCAATCCAAAGTCATAGGTAGCAGCTTCTTCTGAGTCTCCCAAGTGGGTTCAGGGACCCAAGGTTGCAGGGACCTCAGGCTGTCCCCTGCTGCTTTCACAGGCCATGAGCAGGGAGCAAGATTGGAAGTGGAACAGCTGGGACAAAAACTAGCAACCATGTGGGATGCCAGTGCCACAAGGTGCAGGATTAGTTTGCTACACCACCGTGCCAGCCCCTGCTCCACTTCTGATCTAGGCCCCTGTGAATATGCCTGAAGGGGAGAGCAGTGGAGGATGGCCCAAACACGTGGGTCCAGATGGGAGAACAGGAAGAAGCTCCTGGTTCCAGCCTGACCCAGCCCCAGTTATTGACACTAGGGAGTGAGCAAGCAGATGGAAGACCTCTCCCCACTCCCCCTCTCTAACTCTGCTTCTCAGATAAATAAAAGCTAAATATTTTTTAACATTTTAACATTACTTGGGCACTAGTAATGTGGTGCAACAAGTTAACACACTGCCTGGCTGTTCAACCTCCTGTTCAGTTCCCTACTAACACACCTGAAAAAGCAGGAGAGGGGCCCAGTCTTTGGGTCCGTACACACAGGGGAGACCAGGATGGAGTTCTAGGTCCCTAGCTTTGGCCTAGCCCAGCCCTGACTGCTGCAGCCATCTAGGGAGTGAATCAGCATCTCTCTCTTCCTTCTTCCTCTTACTCTGCTTTCCAAATAAATAAATAAGTTTTTTTAAAGACTTATTAAAAAAAAAAAGAATACCTAAAACTTACAGAAATAATATACTAGGTTATTTTTTAAATTAATTTCTTTCAATATTTGCTAACACAGAAAACCTTGCTACTTACTAGTTATCTTAAAAAATAAGAGCAACAGAAGTATATCGATGCAAAGTACTTTTCAGGAGCCAGTTCTGTGGCCCAGGAGGTAAAGCCACCTCCTGCAATGTCATTGCCTGTATGGGTGCCGGATCAAGTCTCTGCTCCTCCATTTCTGATACCATCCCCCTACTAATGCACCTGAGAAAGTGGCAGCAGCTAGCCCAGGTCCTTGGGCCCCCGCCACACACCAGGGACTGGGAAGAAGTGCCTCACTCTGGGCTTTAGACCAGCGCAGTCTGACTATTACAGCCACTTGAGAAGTAAACCAGCAGATGAAAGATCTCTTTCTCTCCTGATCGTTCTCTCTCTAACTCTGCCTTTCAAATAAATAAACAAATTTTTAAAAGAAGGAGAAGTGTCCTTTGGACCCAGTACAATGGCTCGATTGGCTGATCCTTCCCTTGCAAACTCCAGGATTCCATACAGGGGCTGGTTCATGCTCCACCTCCCATTCAGTTCGCTGCCTGTGGCCTGGAAAAGTAGTGGAGGATGGTCCAACTACTTGGGCTCCTGTACCCATGTGGGAGACCTGGAAGAAGCTCCAGGCTCCTTTGGATCAGCTCAGTTCCAGCTGTTACAGCCATTTGAGGAGTGAACCAACGGATAGAAGATCTTTCTCTCTGTCTCTCCTTTCCTCTGTAAATCCGCCTTTCCAATAAAAATAAATCCTTTTTTTAAAAAAGTGTCCTTCAAAAATAAAATAACTTACAGTTGGTCTTAGCTCATACAGATATAAAGATATTTAATTCAGACACAATTAACTCAAATACTGGTAATGCCTCAATTAGACAACTCAGCCTAGAAGTCAGATATAAGCAGGAAAAAAAAAAGAGTTCAGATAATTCACTCAAGGCTAAGTGAAATGCAATATTCTAGAAGAGAATAAAGACTGATCTGGACTGCATTTGTTCTGTTTCTATGGCTAACATCTCAGTCATTATGCTCACGTCCCAGTGGTGAAATTAACATGTCAAATCAGAGACCACTTCAACTGCCAGATGAGTCTTGGACAAGGCTAAGGCTCGTCTGGTCTTCTCAGCAACTATTACAATTTGTTAAACGTTTTAGCAATTACAATGTGCTTCCAAAACATTACTGCAATTAAGCCTCATAATACATCTGTGAAGTAGGTATGACAGGTTGAATATTCCTGATCCAAAATGCTTGGAAGCAGGAGTGTTTCAGAGTCTGGAGTATTTCAGATTTTAGAATATTTGCATAGACTTAACCAGTTAAGCATCCCTAACCCACAGATCTGAAATGCTCCAAATTTCACATCAGTGCTCAAAAAGCTTCCGATTTGGGATTTCCAGATTAGAGATATTTAATCTATATTATCCTCATTTTCAGAGGAGAAAACTTGTGTTCAAAGAGCAGGAGTGTTTATTTCTGAGCCAGAGGAATGACAATTCAGGACTTACATAATTTCAAGGTCTTTGCATGGAGTCCTTTAGCTTTTTCAGAGGAAAACACAGCAGGCTGTTACCAAAACAGCCTGGGACCATCAGAAGCGTCAGTATAATCATCTATGGACTAACGAGCCTCAAAAACAAATACCAGAATCTGATTCCCAGGGTCCCCCGGTATCAGGCAAGTGTCTCTGACTAAAGCTAAGACAGCACAGAACTGTTGCACAAGCAAATCCCAGCACTGCTGTGCTTAGCAGCATAGATTCGTTGACCTTTGCTAACCGCTTACTGCCACTCTTAAGCCAGTTGAGGGGCAGGCATGAGGCGAGCAATAAGGGTGCTGGCTAAGACACTGCATCCCAAGTGACACACCTCGCTCGATCCCTGGCTCCGGCTCCTGGTTCCTAACACAGACCCTGGGAGACAACAGTGACAGCTCAGGTGCTTGGGTCCCTGCCACCCACCCACACGTGAGACCTGTCGCTGCTGATGGCTAGAGGGGGGTCAGTGGAGAAGAGAGCCCTCCACCACTGCCTCTAGTTAACTAATGAGTTCATTAACTACATAAAGCTGTCTTCTACCGTGTGCCATCTGGTCAAGCAGTTAGGAGCACCCGGGGGTCGGTTCACGTTCCACCTCAGCACTGGGGACGATGCTGAGAAGGTGCTCAAAGACAGTCACCTCTACATCACTCCCAGGAACTCAAGAAGATGCTGCCGATTGGCTGGAAGCACAAAGGCGCTGCACTCTGTGAGAGCAGAGAGCAAGCACCGTTAGTACCTTTTTTCCCCTCTTTCTTCCCCTCAGACCATTTCAATCTCATTGGTGTCATCGTGACAGTTGGAGAGCCAGAAAGGAACTGCAACGAGAAAATTGTACAGGGCTTTACAGGTGTTCGTGTCATTCCCACACACAGACTCTCCTAACTCTGCTCCATTTTCTATGCAGTTATACCAGGCTGGCGGAATGCCTCAATTCTATACTGGTTGTGGCTTGGTAAGCAGTATGCCCGAGACACCTTGCAGAACTACCTCACAGGACACAGACAGCCAAGGAGGCCTGGCTCAAGTGTCACTTGTCCTGTGGCATCTCCCGGTAAACATGGCTGCTCCCTTCACTCTCTGTTGATGGAGCTATTGCATTACATTTGTCATCTGTGCCCATGACTTAGCTATAACCTTCCCAAGTTCAAAATGTTCTTGTTGAATGAATCAAGGAAAATCTACAGAAAGGATAGCATAAATGAAAGGACCAAGCAGCCCAAAGAAACATACAACAGCATGCAATTTCTCCTTCCCACAAGTGTGCACACACTCAAAAGGACTGGCATCTTACTGTGTTCATGTTCTCCTTACTGGCTCTCTTCAACTCGCTCATGGTTACGGCCTCTGGAGTAACATACTTGTCCTTGTTTTCTGACGTCTGATTTCCAAGGACCTTCCTCTGATTTAGGAATAGAAAATATTTGAGTTACAAACATTCACTGTACCTGTATCATAACTATACTGGCCTTCAAAATGACTAAAAACTTTACATTCATATCAGCTCTGCTACCTTATCCAAGGGAGAATGTCACCAAGAAAGTTTGTTTTAAGTGACCGCTGTTTCTCCCCATTTAAAAGGACTACACTGTTAGAAGCTAAGAGTGATTTAAACCAGCAAAAATAGGCCAATTCCAGTGCATCTTGGAGGCCATCAGAGAAACACCAGACCTATACCAGAGCACCCTTCCCCCAGGGGTGTGTGGGCTCCAGCGCAGCCAATGGGCTACCCCTCCCTTCCTACCAAAAGACCCTGGGCGGGACCATGCCCTGTCATTTCCCCTCACAGCACTAGAACATGCAGAGAAATTCTCTAGGAGTTCCTCACATAGCCACAGGGGGGAGTACAAGCCTCCCTAGGACTACTCTGGCTTGGGGAGGAAGACCGAAAGCCGTCCTCTTGGCATAGGTTAGAAGCTGGATGTAACTGTGCTGTCAATGACAGTTTTGCTGCCTTTGGAGAAATGTTCTCCTTTCTGCCCTTACGTAACAAATTTTAATTGCAAAACAATCAAAACTACAATATTAACTCCACTTTAGAAATAGCAGCAGCAGTATTGAACATTCTGGTGTATTTACCTGAAGAGAAAAAAAGTATAGTTAAAAAAGATCAAAAAAGGGCCCAGCGTGATAGGACAGTGGTTAAGGTTCTTGCCTTGCACATGCCAGGATCCCACATGGTCACCGGTTCTAATCCCAGTGGCCCTGCTTCCCATCCAGCTCCCTGCTTGTGGCCTGGGGGAAAGCAGTCGAATACAGCCCAAAGCCTTGGGACCCTGAACCCATGTGGGAGACCCAGAAGAGCTCCTGGCTCCTGGCTTTGGATTGGCTCAACTCTAGCCGTTGTGGTCACTTGGGGTGTGAACCATCAGATGGAAGATCTTCCTCTTTGTCTCTCCTCCTCTTTGTATATCCGCCTTTCCAATAAAAACAAATCTTTAAAAAAAAAAAAAAAAACATGGGGCCAACACTGAGATGTAGTGGATTAAGCTGCTGTCTGCAATGTCAGCATTCCACATGAGAGCCAATTTGAGTCCCAACTGATCCACTTCTGATCCAACTTCCTGCAAATGTGCCTGGGAAAGCAGAAGATGGCCCAAGTGTTTGGACCTCTGGTACCCTCGTAAGATATCTGGATGGAGTCCTACACTCCTGGCTTCAGCTTGACCCAACCCCAACTGCTGTAGCTATTTGGGAAGCAAGCCAGCAGGTGGAAGATTAATCTCTCTAACTCTGCCTTTCAAATAATAAATTTTTCAAAATAAATAAAACGTTCCGTCCTAAAGAGTTATAAGCTGTTTTATAAATTCCACAATTCTTAGTTCTCTTAGTAAAGAAGTAGACAGATTCCAACTGTTCAACCACACAATTCACCTGGAGTCCCCTGCAGAGGGGTCCCCTGGGGTAACTGCGGCCCCCTCACCTCAGGGAGGACAAGCTCCTGCACTGTGGCTCCTTCAGCACGCTCCAGCTCAAGGGGAGAGGCCGTGAGCGTCTCTACCCGAGTGCCATTAGGTACACCAAGAGTCATGCACGCCCATTACCAGCACCAAGCTGCAGGACTGTCCGTCCTCCCACCCTGTTAGAGTGTAACCATGCGGGGTCCTCGCCTCTGCCCCCACCAGGCTACCCTCTGCCTCTGGGAGCCTGGCTGCTCTAGAGAGCTCACAGAAGCAGAACCACACAACACTGGTCTTGCTGGGACTGGCTCTTTCCACATGACATAATGTCCTTGGGGTGACTGTCACAGCAGAACTCGGCATCTCCTTCCTCTTAGGGGAGAGGTACTCATCGCCTGCAGACCCATTTCGCTAGGTTCTTCCATCAACAGACAGCTGGGCAGCCTCGCTTGCCGGCTGCCGTGACTAATGCCACTGTGAACACAGGTGCACAGACGACGACCGGGGCCTTGCGTGCAGTTCTTTCAGCTGGACACCCAGAAGGGCACTCACTACTGAGTCAGAAGACGCTGCTCTGCAGAGGCCACGTCACGGTACATCCCTACCAAGGGTGCACAGAGGTCCCAGTTTCTCTGCATCCTTGTCAATACTTGCTATTTTCTGCTTGTTATTTGTTAATTTTAGCAATCCTAGAGGGCATGAAGTAAACACCTCATTATAGCTATGATTTGTATTTCCATAATAATCGGTGATGTTGAGCATCTTTTCATGTGCTTCAGGACCATATAAATATATATTTTTGGCAGGGGGACAGCTGTTTAAGTCCTTTGCTCATTGTTTAATGGGTTTGTTTCTGCTCTTGCTAAGTTACAGCAATTATTCATTCTGGATATTAACTCTTAAACAGATATAGGATTTGCAAATATTTCCTCCCGTTCCAAGGTTTATCTTTCCACTCTATTGACAGCAAGCCTCAAGTCCCAGAAGCCACTGATTCACAGAAGCCACAGTGGATTCACGATCGAGAAGTGAACTCTCTAATTCTATAAATTTTACCTACCTAGAAACAAAAATAGATGAATTTGCAACTGCTAATAGATGTACTTTAAAGAGAAAGAAGTCACAAGATATTTAATCTTTTAGGTCAAAGATTTTAAATTTGAGTCAAAGGGCTCATTAATATTGCTAGATTTACGTAACATAATAATATTAAAATAAGTTCAAAAAGAAAAACAGGGGAACACAGACTAGCGCTAGTTTCTCTCCAAGTTAACCAGAACCTCACCTTAGTTTATGCATAGAAATATGAATCCCAAAACCAAGTTGTCTACTGCCATCTAATGGTCATATTCAATAACTACAATTTGAGACCATCTGAAAACTTGCACATTAACACGTAAACAATGATGGCAGAACATCACAGAAATACATTCTGTGTTTGTATTAAAGATAATATTTTTCACTAATTTGGCTTTTCATTAATTATATGGAAAATATAGCAATAAAAATATTAACTTCACAAACATTTGCAGTACCAAAACCTAGGAGAAAATCCATTTTTTAAGAATTAAAAAAAAAAAAAGAATTTCCCTGCTCTTCTCAACAGATTTAGCAAACCACATAAAAAATATGTAGTATGGGCCAGCACTGTGACACAACACAGTAAGCCACCCAGTGACAATGACATCCCACTTGAGTGCCAGGTCAAATCCCAGCGGCCTCACTTCGGACCCAGGCCCCTGCTAATGCACGGGAGAAGGCAGCATCAAACCCTGAGTGCTCGGGTCCCTGCTGCCCACACGGGTGGCCAGAGGGAGCTCCTGGCTCCTGGCTTCAGCTTGGCCCAGCCCCAGCCAATGTAGCTATGTGGGCAGTGAACCAGCAGATAAAACATATCTCAATCTTTATTTCTCTCGTCTTCTCTCTTGTCTTTCTCTCTAACTACCTTTATCTAAATAAATCTTTCTGAAAGACAAATAAACCGAACACAAAACATTCAGGCCCAAGGACTCTCCTCACCCGTGGGAGAGGAGGAAACGCCTGTCTTTCTTTTATTCCATAATGGTTCTTCTCTGATTTTAAATGCAGCAAACACTTTGAAAATATAAACCCTTTATAAATTCAACCTTTATTTCCTGACAAATTAACCCTTTACAGGATGCCCCCAAATTGAAATCTGGTCTGCATAAGAAAAGCCAGACTGGAAATCCCTCAGCCTATGGAATAGTATCATGAAAAATACAAATTAAAACTTTTTAAAAAGAAGAAAGAAAAGCCAGACTAGTCCATTTTCTCACAAAATTACAAAAAAAAAAAAAAAAAAGCACAGCATACTCACCTTAATGAGCCCACTGAAGGAGCGTGAACGGGTCCGCTTCTGCACTCGAGAGCTAGAAGGTTCTCGCCCCGGTGTTTGGGTCAAAGATTGCTTATTAAACTAAAACAAAACAAGAACACCACACAGAGAGCATGTTATTAATATTCTCCCAGCACTGTGGGGTGGCCCCTGTGGCACAGGGCAGACACCCACTAGCTGGCAGCTTCTATCAGAGCACACAGGGGAGTCCTTCCTCCACCTGCAACCCAACCTCCTGCCTGGGTGTCTGTGAAGACAGCTCGAGTCCTGCAGTCCCTGTCACCACGTGGGAGAACACATGGAAACCCTGGCTCCTGCTCCGGCCCAGCATTTCAGGAATGACCTAGCACCTGAAAGATCTCTCCTTTCCTCTCTCCCTTACTGTCAGAGGAAACACACTGGGACGCAGACGCACCAAAGCTATCAACATCAGCTCTCTGAAGCTGTTGAAAGTAGAAAAGGGGAAGTTCCAAGGAACTGCACAGTCCCAGTCAACACCTGGATTAGACGTCCATTTCCCAAATTAAAGATAACACAGTAGATTACAAAGATAGCAAGAGATTCTCTGGGCACAAAGAAACTGAGCCACCTCTGGGCCTTCGTGGTAACTACCCCTCCTGGACACACCAGGACAGGCGACACACAGCAGCTGCGGTCCCATGGGTGAGGGACTGCCCGGGTCGGGGGGCACTCACTGCCAAAGGTTCTCAGACGCTTTCTAGAAATACATAATCAGAGCCTTTCAAAATCACAAACCACCAAGCAAGGAGCTAACGGGAAGCACCTCGAGCCCCTACAAGCACATCTGCCCACCAGCTGTGGCAGACACAGAAGACTAGACAAGCTAAACGACAACTCAGGGAAGCCAGTCATGGAATCCAGACCGGGACAAACCATCTGATTTCTTCCAAAATAAAACGGAAAAAAGGGGGAGTGAGGAAGAGAGATAAAAAGGGACGGCCAGAGAGTACGTGCAAATATAACACAGTATCCTGCTTTGGATCCTGGAGCAGGAAAAGGGAAAGCCAGTAAAGCCAGTAAAACGGGAATAAAGCCTATAATCTTAGTAGTAATGTATCAATGTTAATTTTTCAGGTTTTTTAAATTATTATTTTATGTTTTTAATTTTAAATGGTGATTTGAAGATTTATTACGATAATTTATTATTAAGTTTACTTATTAATAAAAATAAATAAGATAACGTATTAATAATTAAGATTTATTTTTATTTGAAAGGTGGATTTACAGAGAGAAGTAGAGGGTCTGTAGGCACACTTGCATGGTGGGTGCCAGGTGGTAAACCCCAGGGGTGAGGGGCAGTGGAGGGGTCCAGTGGAGGCCCGGATCACGTGGCCTGGGTCTTTGGACCCGCCTGCAAGAACTGGTCCTCCTCAGTGGAAAAGACAGAGCAGTGGACAGCAGGCCCTGATGCACAGGGAGGATATGGCAGCCCACTGGGAGCTGCAGAGGACATCTGGTAACAAACCTGAGGAAGAACAGAACACATTTGACAACCACCCCAGCCAAACGATGACAGCAAAAAGCTGAGTGAAGGAGACTCTACGGTCGCCCGTGTCAGCCAATGGACATTGGAAGGGTTTCCTCATCCTTGGATTGGCAAGATAATCAGAACTATGAAAACCACCTGGGCAGAATCCTTAGAGTACATGCAACATCAGGACCCTGGGTTGATATCAAGTGGCCATGCCCCATCCCTGGATACTGGGGCATTGGGAGGCTGGGTATGGCTTCTCTCCTTATCTTCCCACTTCCTCCAGCAATAAGAATATAAAATTTGGAAACAATGATTACATCCACTTTTCCCTAACCCTGGATCCTTCCCACACTGATCAACTATGCAAACATCATCAGAAATAAAAATAGACGATTCGTTTTTTAAAAGATTTATTTTTATTTGAAAGTTGGATTTACAAAGAGGAGAGATAGATCTACCACCCACTGGTTCACTCCCCAAATAAACAAAACAGCAGAGCTGAGCCAATCCAAAGCCAGAATCCAGGAGCTTCTTCTGGGTCTCCCACATGGATACAGAGTTGCAATGGCTTTGGCCATCCTCCACTGCCTTGCAAGGCACAAGCAGGGAGCTGGATTAGGAGAGGAGCAGCCAGAACACAAAGACCAGCACCCATATGAAATGCTGGCACTAGCAAGCAGAGGATTGGCCTGTTGAATCAGCAGGCCCGATAGTTATGATAAAAAGAAGGAGGAGAGGCGCGCTATGATGGCTCAATTAGCTAATCCTCTGCCTGAAAGTGCTAGCATGCCATGTGGGTGCCAGTTTGTGTCCCAGATGCTCCATTTCCCATCCAGCTCCCTGTTTGTGGTTTGGGAAAGCAGTAGAGGACAGCCCAAAGTTTTGGGACCCTTCACCAGGCTCCTGGCTCTTGGCTTTAGATCAGCTGGGCTCCAGCCATTGTGGCTATTCAGGGAGTGAACCAATGAATGGAAGAGATCTTTCTCTCTGTAAATCTTCCTTTGCAATAAAAATAAATAAATCTTTCTTTTAAGAAAAATGTGAAAAACTGTAGTATCTTTGCAACTTCTCACTAAAATTATTTTTAAATGAAAGGTTGATTCAAACAAACTGGAAATATTTTAGGGAAAAGAAAGTGAGAAGGAGGGATATATATTGAGAGGGATCTGGTAGTGATATTAACCAAACCAAAAAAAATGCTTCCCCTTTGGTCATGCCACTTTTGGGGAATATTCTAACAATGAAAATACTTAACAACAGATACTGATAAACAGCACTGGTAGGCCAATTGTATATAAGTTGGGTTATACAGAATAGAATATTATATAAATATTAAAAAATATTCACAATCTTGCCTTGACATAGAAAAAATTTATGATACAAGCTTAAATGAAAGGGTAGGATATAAAATTGAATGCATATTATGCATAATGACATTACGATCTTAAATAAGAGAAAAAAGCATGAAATATCTTTAAGGTGTTAACTGGCACTATTTCTGGGCCATTGTAAGTGATTTGCATTTTCTCCTTTACACTCCCTCGAAGTGGCAATGTTTCTATGGAGAGCACATATTAATCACAGATGAAAAAAATAGGAATTGGTAAAATTATAGTTTCCATAAAGATTGGATAGTGCCTAGAAGGTATGCAAGGAATTTGCAACCATATATGAGAAAATGTTTATGTTACAATGTTAAGTGAAAAAAGGGCAAGTCTAAAAAGGCTGGTCTGGAGGCCTGTGCTGTGGCACACACATGCTGGGTGTTAAGCTGTCCTTTGCAGGGCCAGCATCCCACATAAGCACTGCTTTATGGCCTGTTTCACGGTTGTTCCACTTGTGATCCAGCTCCCTGCTAATGTGCCTGGGAAAACAGCAGAGGGTGACCCAAGTGCTTGGACCCTCACACCACACGGGAGGTCCGGCTGGAGCTCCAGGTTCCTGGCTTTCGCCTGGGACAGCCCTGGCTTTCACTGCCATTTGAAAAAGGAACCAGCGGGCCCGGCGCAGTGGCGCAATGGTTAAGGTCCTCACCTTGCACGCCCGGGATCCCATATGGGCGCCGGTTCTAATCCCAGCAGCCCCGCTTCCCTTCCAGCTCCCTGCCTGTGGCCCGGGAAGGCAGTCGAGGACGGCCCAAAGCTTTGGGACCCTGCACCCGCGTGGGAGACCCGGAGGAGGCTCCTGGCTTCAGATTGGCATAGCATCGGCCGTTGCGCTCACTTGGGGAGTGAATCATCAGACGGAAGATCTTCCTCTCTGTCTCTCCTCTCTGTATATCCGCCTTTCCAATAAAAAAATAATAATAAAAATAAATCTTTATAAAAAATTTTTTTAAAAAAAAAGGAACCAGCAAATTGAAAATCTCTCTGTGTGTCTCTCCCCATTCTCTGTAACTGCTTTTAAAGTAAATAAATAAATCCTAAGAATAAAAGATTATCCTTCTCGGTAATCTAATTTTCTAAAAAGAACAAAGCTGATGCTCTTTCTTTGCATTCTCTTTAACCTTCTGTATTCTTGTTGAGAGAAGTCCTGTCTTAGAATCTGTCAAGAATAAAATCACTCGGCCACTTGACGTCTACAATACTCAGACAACACTCTGTCAGAGCCTAGGGACGCCAGCATTTACCAGACCTCAGAATAACCTCAGAGAGTAACAAGAAACATCTCAGGGGTTTCAGCAAGTGTTACAACAGCTCACTTCCCCTTTTCTAAGTACTTGCTGATGCCTGACCCTATGTCTGAGATTAGGCACAAAATAAGTAAACAAAAATAAGACTCCTCTCTTCAAGAAAGTCTCAGTTCAGCAAGAGGCCAAGCAAGGCCGACCTTAAGCTGGGATAACTTCCAGAGGAACTCAAACAAAACCAAACTCCTGAGAAAGAAACTTCCCCCAGTCATCAAGATGTACTCAAACTACACTAGAGTTTCAACCTCAAATCAGAGCCCTCATTCTGCTCCCAGGGCTCCCATAAGCAAGCCTCATCACTCAGATGCCCAAATCCTAGATTCCAGAGATCCCTAATTTTCACTGTTTTCTGACTACACAGACCTCCACCACCAAGGGCACCACTCACCTCCTGTTAGGCCAGCCACTCTGCATAGACCAGCCTGTTTGTTACCACTGCCATGCTACCAAGTAGAAAACTGAAATTCAGAAAGTTATTTGCTAGGAGAACATATCAACCTGTAACTATGCTGTGACTGCTGATTCCATCTCAGCAAAACCAGCAGAGGCTCAGAACTGCACACACTCAGCACATGCAGGCAGCCCCATTTAACCATGGAAATCCATGAGCCTCCAGCCCTTCATCTAGGGAAACAGCTGTAGGAGTGCAGGGATCCCCACTGAGATTGTAAGGGCAAGCTTGCTCTCTCAGCTGAGCCAAGGCTTGGCCCAATAAAAGCCCAAAGTTCCATGAGATTGTTAACAGCACGCCCAAGGGAATCCGCGCTCAGGATCACATTGCTGAAGCCCCTCAGCACCTGTCTAATAAGCTGCTTCTTCTTGGCGGACTCAGGCATGTTGTGGACATGCTGGAACAGCTCTCTCAGGGCCTCTTCCGTCCGCTGCTGGGTCTCCTCCTGATGGGAGCAAGAATCGACTTGGTTCCGTTTCTGAGACTTCGCTAGCTGGAAGGATTTACTATGACATGACGCTGTCAGATCAAGGTCATCCTACAGAACATTTGAAGGAACAGTGAATTAACATTCCCTATCAGCTTTGTTTTTGGACTTCATAAAATCCTGGGACAGAAGAGGGGATTAGGGACATGATAGACCTCTACATCCAGGAATAAGAAAAAAAAATCAAGATTTATTTGAAAGTCAGAGTTATGGAGAGAGTTCTTCCACCTGCTGGTTCACCCCTTCAAATGGCCACAATGGCCAGCCAGAGCTAGGAAAAGAAAAAAGCATCTTCTATGCTTTTCCTAGGATACCAGCATGGAAGTAGGTTGCAAGCCAGGACATGATGAATGGGCATCCATATGGGATACCATTGTTGCAGGCAATGGCCCCACCCACTATGCCATAACACCAGCCCCAAGGAAAAACCCTCAACATTATGATTAGTATAAAGAATCTACTGAGGGGACAATGCTGTGGCCCGGCAGCCTGCTCCACTGGGAAGGCACTCCCGGCCTCAGTTAAAGTAAAGCCTTTTGCAGCAGACTCAACAGTGAACCACTGGGTGGAAGATTCTCTCTCTCTCTGTAAGCTCATCTTTCAAATAAATAAAACATATCTCTAAAGAGAAAAGAACTCTTGGTCCAGTGTTGTTTTCAAAGCATCTCTCTCTTCTTTCTTTTTTTTTAAATTTATTTATTTATTTATTTGAAAGTCAGAGTTCCAGAGACAGGTTCTTCCACTCGCTGGTTCTTTTCCCATAAAGTCATAATGGCCAGAGATGAGTCAAGCTGAACCCAGGAGTGAGGAGCTTCACACAGGGACCCATCCTACACTGCCTCGCTTGGAATGTCCTATGCCGCCTTTCTCAGGCCATCAGCAAAAAGCTGGACTGGAAGTGAAACACAGGGACATGAGTAAAGAAGCAGGGGCCCATATGGGATGCCAGTGGCATAGACAGTTGATTTATCCATTAGGTTACAACACTAGCCCCTCAAAGCCTCTTTTGAGCTTAATGTAGTTCTCAATGCTATTCCACAAAGAAAGCAGGGAAAGTGTTATTATCCCTGTGTGACAGAAGGAAACACAGAAGTGAAGCTGTCATCTGGATGGGACCAGCACTGTGACAAAGCACATAAAGCCACTGCCTGTGGCACTAGCATCCCCTGGGTGCTGGCTGGAGTCCAGCTGCTCCGCTTGTGATCCAGTTCCCTGCCTATGTGCCTGGGAAGGCAGCAGAGAATGGCCCAAGTCCTTGGGACACCACACCCACATGTGAGATCGGAAAGAAGCTCCTGGTTTCAGACTGCCCCACTCTGACTATTGCAGCCATTTGTGGAGCAAACCAGTAGATAGAAGATTCTCTCTCTGTCTCTCCTTCTCTCTGTAACTCCTTCAAATAAATAAATCTAAAAAAAAAAAGCTTGGGAAAGCCTTTTTAGCTTAATATCTTTAAAGTTCATAATAATATATACTCTTCTATTCATAAACATGTTTTCCTATCTAATTCATGTTATTTCACATCTTTCAGTCATTTGATAGTTTTTCTTTTACTACTAAAAGCAAAACAAAAAAACAGTTACATAAAATACTTTTACTGCTATTAAATACTGAGTACATTGGTTATTTATAGATTACATATTTAAGAACAGACTAAAGGGGCTGCCTAAATGGCTCAACTGGCTAATCCTCTGACTGTATGCGCCAACATCCCATATGGGCACTGGTTTGCATCCTGGCTGCTCTACTTCCCATCCAGTTCCTTACTTATGGCCTAGAAAAGCAGCAGAGGATGACCCAACTCTTTGCGCCCTGAACCCACATAGGAGATCTCCAACAAGGCTCCTGGCTTCATATCAGCTCAGCTCCAGGTTTTGTGGTCACTTGAGGAATGAACAGCAGATGGAATATCTTTCTCTCTGTCTCTCCTCTTTGTGAATCTGCCTTTCCAATTAAAAATAAAGTAATAAATCTTTTTAAAAATGGATTCATGAAAAACCTTTAAACATACAGTCAATGCCATCACTCCTTAGAGGATTCCATCAACCTGAAAACATCTGAAAGACAGCAGCACTCTGCAGAAAGCCACTTCTTGCAACTTCCATTTCCTTCTTTTCTTTTATGGCAAAATAACAGTAATTTTGAGCAATAACACTGAACACTTCTGTATTTTCCATGAATTTACTTTACTTTACACTTTAAAATTCTGCTGACAGGAAAGAAGGGAGATGCCAGACATGATGGCTAAATCTTCCTCCTTCAAGAGCCAGGATCCCACATGGGCACCAATTTATGTCCCGACTGCTCCACTTCCCTTCCCTTGTGGCCTGGGAGACAGTAGAGCATGGCCCAAAGCCTTGGGACCCTGCACCCATGTGGGAGACCCCAAACAGTCTTCTGGCTTCAGGTTGGCTCAGCTCTGGCCTTGGTGGCCATTTGGAGAGTGAACCAACAGATGAAAAATCTTTCTTTCTGTCTCTCCTTCTCTCTGTAAATCAGATCTGCCTTTCCAATAAAAATAAGCTAATCTTTAAAAAAAAAGTCTGCTAACCCTCTTTCCTAGTTTGAGTTAAAAGCAGTGCAGCTTCTTACCTTTGATGTTTGGGTTCTAGAGCCCAGATAATGCAACCTGGCACACTCCCGAATATAAGCAGGAGCCTAGAGAAGACAAAGAAGAAAACAGAGACCCAGGGATTAGCACAATTAAATCTCTTTCAAGCCACAGGACAGTAGCTCTCCAAATCCTCTGACTGGCAGATTATTTTGTGAGAAATCCACGTTCCTCTACACACCCTGTGACACAACTTTCTTTCCCTTGCCATCAAGTAGATATCTGAACAAATCTGAAGGGAAAACTATGAGACATTAATGTAGTCACTAATATTTTAAAATCAAATATGTCATATATAGACAAACCAAAAAGGAACCAAAAAGGAACCAAAAAGAAAAACAAAGGCACCTATAGAGATGTTTATGCTTGCCAAAAGCCATCCCCAAATCCTTCCAAATGGCAAGTGGGCACCAGGTCACATTTTAAAGTAATGAGACCCAGATGGAGTTGGAGGCTCCTGGCTTGAGCCTGGCCTAGCCCTAGTTGTTGTGAGCACTAGGAAAGTGAACCTGCTCATGGAAGATCTCTCTCTGACTTCAAACAAATAAATTTTTTAAGAAAATACCTTTCACAATTATTCAGAACTACTTTAGGGTTCAATCTTGTAACAAGCATTCTAAAATGCTTGTAGAAGTGTAAATTAATACAAACACTATGATAGAGAATAACAATATCTGATAAAATTATATTTACATTTACCTTCTGACCCAGAAAGTTCACATCTGGGACTCTATCCTGAAGTTATAACTCTGCTTGCATGACATTAAGCAAATGATTGGCTACACCCCAAGTGCTCATTCCTGCCTGAATGAACTCACACATTTGGATCAGGCAGGCTAACGCAGACACACAGGGAGGGAAAGAAAAAAGGATGATGAACTGATAGGAAAGGATTTCCAGGGTCTACTGGTGAGTGAGAAAAGAAAGGTGGTGACCGTATAAGGTGCCTGTGTAAGGAAGGGAAATATGAACATATATACAACATGTATTACTTATTCTAATAAACAGAAGCACTAAAAGGATAAACCAGAAAAATACTGGAATGGCTAACAAAAGGACTAACTTTTCTAATAATACTGCTTCAAAAAGTAAATTTAAATCCAAAAGGAAATAATGGCAAAGACCAAAGCAAACACAAACATGGGGCAGAGGGTGGGAGGGATGTATCTATGTAACAAACTGACAACATGAGCACAGGAACATAAATTATTTCAAAACTATATTCTAAGGAAAAAGAGATTCAAAGAAATATCAAACTTCAATCAACAGATATACTTAGGTTTACTCTTAGTAGTAACAGCTGCATCACTTTGAAACTAATTTATGTATCTTATAGGATAAAAGAAATAAAACATGAAAATATTATTAAAATCTAGAACGTACAATATAAAAGAAGAAAATATAAGATTAAAATAAAGAAGCTCTGTAATATACAAGCTGAGTTGGCAGCAATAATGTCATTTCTTTATAAAAGTATTTAATCCAGGAGCTAGCATTGTGGCATAGTGCATTAAGCCACCACATGCAATGCCGGCATCCCATATGGATCCAGTTCATGTCCCAGATGCTCCATTTCCATTCCAGCTCCCTGCGATTGGCCTGGCAATGCAGCAGAGGAAGGTTCCTGCCACCCACACGGGAGACCTGGATGAGGCTCCTGGTTTCAACCTGGCCCAGCATGGCAACTGCAGCCGTCTGAGCAGTGAACTAGCAGAAACAAGATATCTCTGTTTCTGTCTCCCTTCCTCTCTGTAATTCTGACTTTAAAAATAAGTTAATACGTCTTCAAAGCAGAAAATATTTACTCTGCTTTCTTGCCTTCAGAGAGCCCAAAAGCAATGACACCCAGGCAATGAAAACCTAGTATCATTCAAAACAATCAGATCTCCTTAAGAAAAATAATTTATTCCAAATCCAAAGTAGAGCAAGTACAAAGTGAGCTGTGACATTTTATGACAGAAAGGAAGCATTCAAAGACTAATGGAGTCCTATCAAAATACATGCAGGTCCCCACCACAGGCCATCTCGCACCTGGGCAAGTGTTACATTTTTGGGAGAAGAGCAGCCAATAGCTGGCAGGCATCCTGGGTCTGGTTAAATGCTAAATCTGTTTAACTACACCCATATGCCAGTCTACCTGTCTATTCTATTTTTATTTTTAAAGATCTGGGGGAAGGGAGCAGAGCTCCTGCCATGCCACTGAGAGTGCCCACCAGTTGGGGGCACCCTACCACCATCATCCCGGCCTCAAGCACAGGTGGGCGTGAATTGCTGGAGGCAGGGGGACTGGGGATGGGTCAGATGGGAGCCACTGAGGGCTTGTTTCACATGTGTAAAATGACTTCTGGAGGCTTCCTGGTCTGGGCCATAGCACCTGCAAGTAATCAAGAGGGCCGAGATGGATGGATCGGAAGAAGGAACCTGGAGGGCCTTCCTGGGGGAGGTCAAAGCACCCACGCACATATACACAAGAGCCAGGCTGGAAGCAGACTAGGCCAGGCTAGGTCACAGCACCAACAGCATTTATGAGAGCAGTGCTTGGAGGCCGGTCTGGGAGGGGTTCTTGGGGGTTGCCATGACTAGACTGTAGACCCACAGCAAGTATCAGGGCTGAGAGCAGGCCACAGTGAGGTAAGCCATAGTACACAGCTGCTTCACTTGATTCAGCCCCTACTAATGGAGGTTTGGGGAAAGGACAGGGAGAAGTCACAGTAAGACAGCAGGAATGCTGTTGTTCTAATTCATACCAGTTGTTGGCCTTGTCTCGTGGCTTCTCATTTATGGAAATGTACAGTGACAGAGTACCAGGGTCTACCATATCTAGATGTGAGGATATAATGCAGCATGCATCCCTGCTTCCAAACAAAAGCTGGGCTCCCAATGAAACTGTTGGAAATATGTAGACAACAGGATGCTGGACTGACATTGTCTGTACCAGCAATAAAAAAGAGACTGATGGAATTATGACTCCTTATGAAGAACTATACTATTGTAGCAACATGGGGAAAATCTTTTGGAGGGTGGGAGTTTGTGGAGGAATCCCAGTCTACACAAATTTGTACCACAAAATTCAAAAATTCAAAATAAACATATAACAACAACATAAAAAAGATAGCAGGAACAAGTTGCGGTGTGCAGTATGCACAGCGACTAATTAGCAGTAAGATATTGTATGTATGTATGTGTCAAAATGGCCGGAAAACAAGCAAGACAGAGGGGAGCTCTTAACCACTGATCACTCCCCCAGGACTAAATGGTCGGGCCTGGGTTAAGGCTGAGGGAGCCAAAAACTCAATCCGGGTCTCGCACTTGGATGGCAGGGACACAATTACAATTACGTAAGTTATAACCAACACCTACCAGGATCTGCACTAGCAGGAAGCTGGAGTTACAGGAGCCAGAGTTGGTCACTCGCCCAGACACTCCAGTGGGTTTTAACTGCTAAATCAAGTATCTGCTCCATGGGAGATTTTTAATGCTCTTACTACAAAGAAACGATAAATGTTTGAGGTGAAAGATAATGCGAATGACTCTAATTTGATTTGTTACATAAAGTATGTATGTATCAAAACATTGCATTGTAGCCTATCAATATGTATGAGTCAAAAAGATTTTTTAAAAAGTGCTCCATGATGCTGGAGTTGGCAGTGGTTTCTTGGATATGACACCAAAACTATAGGAAACAAAACAAAAAACTGAAAAACTTAAAATTTTATACATCAAAAAAAGTATCAGAGCTGATATTATGGTATATTGGGTTAAGCTACCACCTGCCAATTAAAGTCTCAGAGGCTCTACCTTTGATCCAGTTCCCTGCTAACACTCCTGGGAAGGCAGCAAAAGATGACCCAAGTTCTTGGGCCCCTGCACCCATGTGGGAGACACGGATGAAGCTCCTGGTTTCAGCCTGTTCCAACCCCGGCCACTGTGGCCACTCAGTGAGTGAACCAGTGCATGAACGATCTTTCTAACCCTGCTTTTCAAATAAATAGATAAGACCTTTAAAAAAATAGAAAGTAATTGTGAAGAAAATGCATTTTAAAGAAAATGCCAAAATGTAACTACACAATCTTGGGCTAAAAGCATGTGAAAGCCAGAGTCTCTGGTCACATAAAGGGTCTTTCGGGAGAGCTGGGGTGTGCCAATAGAGCCCCGCCATAAACCCAGACACCCACAGAGTCTCAGGGAGGCTTGAAGGTACTGTCCCCTAGCCTTTTAAGCCAGAGACCAAAGTGGAGAAGGTTTTATCTTCACAAAGATCCCCACATTCCCGAAAGAACTATTTTGGCAGCAAACACCACTCATTTGATACAGAAAGGAATAAAAAGTACAAAAAGACAGAGGGGCTGTGAGAGGCTCAGATCCCACAGGCAGCAAAGCAGCTGCCGGCAGGAGGTAGTTGCAGGCTAGCAGACCCAGAGGCGGGGCTGTCACCCAGAGGGCTGGCCCCACTTTACCTCCCACTCTTTTTCCTCCCTACCTGCATTGTTATTTCTCCTCGGTTTTGCCATCATCTCTTACAGAGAGATCAGGAGAGATAGAGCACTTCCATTTATTGGGTTCATTCCCCAATAGCCACAAAGGCTGAAACTGGACTACTCACGCTGAGCCAGTCCAATGCCAGGAGCCATGGAGGTCTCCCATGCAGCTGCAGGTGCCCAATGCCATCCTCTGTTGCTTACCCAGGCCATAAGCAGGGAGAAGCAGAGGAAGTGGAGCAGCCAGGACTTGAACTGGCACCCATATGGGAGTCCAGCACTGCAGGTAGAGTCTTTTTGATCTGCAATCCCAGTCAGGGTTTGTCTTCTTTATAGCCCTGTTCAGGATCCCACCTTGGTCCATCTTACTTGTCCTGTTGCCAACCAATGCCATCCCTCACCTACCTTAAACAGTTTCTGGGAGTGTTTAATCATAAAGGCCATCCCATTGTTTAGCTTGGTGATATTCTCCTGAAGGTCATTTGCAGTGACCTATCCAGGGGGAAAGAAACCAAAGGATATATGAAAACCTGGGAAATAATATTTACAAGTAAGTATACCCTTTCAAAATATAGAACAGCATGCATCCCTAGCCAAGGTTTCTCTAACACAATGTTTAACTCTAGAGAGACATTGGTTCAACAGCTTCCCAATGGGTATGACATCATCTCAAAACACCCAGGTGTCCCTGAAGTGACCAGGAAATCCCAGAGGGGAAGTCTCTACTCCTTAATTCACCTTGAGAATTAGACATGCCAACCAAGTTGCTCAAGGACTCCAAGCAGAGAGAAGGACTTGTCTGCACCAGATGTCAAGGACATGAACTCTTCAGAAGGACTGCAAGTTCCCCAAAGGCCCAGGAGACCCCCTCGCTCTGACACCAAAGGTGCCATCTGTTTCTTAAGAACACAAACGGTCCGGCGTAATAGCCTAGCAGCTAAAGTCCTCTCCTTGAATGCACCAGGATCCCATATGGGCGCCAGTTCTAATCCTGGCAGCCCTGTTACCTATCCAGCTTCCTGCTTGTGGCCTGAGAAAGCAGTCGAGGACGGTCCAAAGTTTTGGGACCCTTCCCCCGACCCCCATGGGAGACCCGGAAGAAGTGCCTGGATCCTGGCTTCAGATTGGCACAGTACTGGCCGTTGTGCTCACCTGGGGAGTGAATCATCAGACAGAAGATCCTTTTCTCTGTCTCTCCTCCTTTCTATATATCCGCCTTTCCAATAAAAATAAGTAAATCTTACCAAAAAAAAAGAAAAGAAAGAAAGAAAGAACACAAACTGTCCTGGATTCCCTTCTCCCTCTTCCACTGGCTTTTTAAAAACACTCAGAGCTCCACCATCTGAAAGCCCTCACCCTCGGCATTCATCAGCCACTTGCTGGCTTGCTTTCCTAAGATCTCTTCAGCATTTCTGCTGACAACTGCTGTCCGCGTGCTCCTTTCCAGTCACGGCTGGAAAACCCTTCATTAGGAGGCCTTGTCCCCCAAACACGGACAAGTGTTAACGTGACTTGCCCTCCACAGTCCACCTCAGAGGAGGACCTTTAGACCCAGAATTCTCCATGATTCCTTCTGTCATCTTCCCCACAACCTTGTGTGACAGTATTAAAGTTATTGCTATGCACTGTTTCAAAAGAAGGTGCCTAGCATACAAAGAAGGAAGAAAAGAGAAAACACGGTTTTGCAGATCCCAACCCATGACCCTGGCTCCAATCCCCCCCCCAATCACACAGTAAAACCTATACTAGGAATGGGCTATGGCCCTCCAAGAGACTTTATTCAGAAGACTTCAGATAATTTATTTCTCATGTAAATCACTGAAGCTACAGCCTTGGTAATAAGAAGCACACTTGGCGTTAGCCACGGAGACTGTGTCAACAGGAAATAGAAAAGTCGGGGTAAGACAAGGTTACTCCATGTCATCTCATCTGAAACCTTGGTGACAGAATCCTGTAAGATTATCCAGCTCTGTTCTAAATTTATACCATTCAATCTTCAGAAACTAATTTGATTTCCCCAAAGCCTTCAGTGTTAAGAAGGCATCCACACTGACCAAAATGAGTATTCTAGTTTAGTCTTCTATAAAGAGTTCCACTAAGTTGCAATTTATATGTGAAGTTGAAAGCAGTTGGCCCACTCTAAGCCTGATGACTCTTTTTTTATATTTTTTCATTATTTTTTAAAGATTTATTTGTTTTTATTGGAAAGTCAGATATTTGTAGAGAAGGAGAGAGAAAGATCCTCCATCCGTTGATTCACTCCCCAAGTGGCTGCAAAGGCCAAAGGTAAGCCGATCTGAAGACAGGCGCCTCTTCCAGACCTCCCACATGAGTGCTGGGTCCCAAGTCTGGGCTTTCCTCAACTGCTTTCCCAGGCCACAAGCAGGAAGTTGGATGGGAAGAGGGGCTGCCGGGATTAGAACCAGTGTCCATATGGGATCTTGGCGTGTTCAAGGCGAGGACTTTAGCCACTAGGCCACTGCACCGGGCCCAAGCCTGATGACTCTTGAATGAATCTCATAAACTCAAGATTAGACTTTAGATCCTTGATAACTTCACCAAGGTACACTGGGAGGATGGGACCTAGTCCCCAAACCGCCTTCTTGATTCTTCCCCTAACTCACATTTTTTGGCCATAGGACATGGGGTGCAAACATAAGAGCAAGGTTGTAGGCAGACATCTTGTTCTTATCCTGTTTCTTGGCTGTCTGGTACAGGAGATCAAGCAGTAGCTTCAGCAAATTACGGTTGGGAGGAGGGAGAATGAGGAAGAGTAACTGCAGAGCCTCAATTTGCCGCTGCTTATCTGGCACGTTGGTCTTGTTGCCTTTGTCATCAAACTGCATCAAGTCTTGAGAAGAAGAGAAAATTATTGCAAGGGATGGATAAAATATCAGCAAGAAAAATCAATACTATTACTATTACTCTCCCCTCAATTCCCAAGGAAAAAGAGGAGCAAAAGATGGACCATAACAAAGAGAGGAAATTAAACCTTTCCACGTTGCTGGTGAGAATGTAAAGGGTAAACCACTTCAGACCACAATTAGCAATTCCTCAATTAGACAGAGTTACCACATGACCCAGCAATTCCACCGCTAGGCATATACCCAAGAGAAAATGAAGATATGTCCACACATGGCTTTGGTAATGCCATTTCTTTCACTTTTTCCCTCTCAGACATTCCACGGTTAAAAGAAAAAGCAGAGAACATCATGTCTTGGGACACAGGAGGTTGCAGGCAGCTCTCTTTGTGGCATCAGAGAACCTTGCTTCTCCCCTAACAGTCTGCCCAGGTTATTGCACAGTCCCCTGGCTAATTAGAATTCCAAAGGACACTAATAACCACTTGGTTATAATTCATTTAGGATCAGAAAATGATTACAGTGTGTTATGTAAACTCTTTAATCTCAACAGCCACTCAATGTTTAGAAAAGACAGGTAATATTACCAAAAAAAAAAAATGTTCTGTTAATATGAAATTCAGAACAAAAGCTTTTCCAATTATCAGCAAGGCATATTAAATGGTACAACTGCACTGCACCTCAGTAGCAGCATGTTCTCAGGGAACAGTGAATTGTCAGATGGTGAAGGGGAGGATTTCAAAAGCCACTAAATGGATGAACTCAACCAGAGGGCACACTAAACAGTATTCTTCAGATAAACACACAAAAATAATTTTTTAATATTTCCTAAACCTTTTTCAGAGACCTAACAACAGCTATTTCTTCCCAAAATACCTGTAAAATTATACAGTATTTTAGCAAGTAATATTTATTCATTTATATTATTTGGACTACTACTGAAAGTTTTTAAATTACATTTTTAAGTTGAAAACTAGCTCACTTTTTAGTAAAAACTGTTCAAATAGAAATATCCCATATTTATTTGTTAAAATTAGAATAAAAGGAAAAAATATTCAAATGCAGAAAAATAAGTAAATGCAGTATGGATTTTGATGCTGTGTGCACTGGGTATATAACAGCTGTGCAGTTTAAGCATAAATTTCCTACCACAGAGGCATAAAGAATGAGGAAACTATTATGGGCTGAAAATGAACTAATTCTAAAATACATTAAAGAAAAAAAAAAGTAAACCACAGAACCATGCATATGAGTAATACCCTACCATTACATAAGAACAGGGAAAGAGGAAAATGTATATTTCTTTTTTTTTTATTATTAATAAATTTTATTTTGACATTCTTTACATAGTTAATCAGGGTAAGAAGGTTCAAGGGCTACAGGAAAGTGGATAATACTAGTATGTTTTCCATATTGTTAGCTTCATATTTAAAGGGGGGTATTTAAGGGAGAAGCCCACCCAATTTCCCACCCTCCCCAGGTCCCGGATGTAGGGCATACTCTGAGGTTCTCGCTCAAGTGGTTTTGATATTGCCACAGTTATGAATCACTGTCAATCTTGCCACTCCAAGCACTATGAGATCTTTGAAAAATCCACTGATTGACATAGTCCATCATAGCTGAGACGGTTGGTTGACCTGTTCTGTCTTCTCTCTTTTCTTCGTTAGGGTTCTGAGTCCAGCATTTAGATTAGGAAAATGTATATTTCTTAGAATACCTCCTGACGTGGTACATGAGAAGCCCATAGCACTGGTCTCAACAGGGGTGGAGAGGGGCACTTAGGACACAGTCACAGAATCTTTTGAATTTCAAACCATATAAATGCACTGCTTATTCAGACAACCAAGCAAATTATTTTAAAAAAATGAATGGCCAAGTGTAGAGATCACCTCAACCGAGGCATAGAAATACTTAGCAAAAGCCCCAAACCAAGGCAAACATACCAAACCCATAACCATCTGAAGTATGTAAACTGAATGAATCCATTCAGCCCAACCCAATGAAAAGAACACATTATTTGGACAACTAAAACATGCGAAGTACTACACTAGGATTTATCTGGGACACAAAAATAATATCATATATCGGGTTTAGCTATAGCTAAATGCTGGTATCCCAAATCAAAAGCCAACTACTCGGCTTTTGATAGTTTTATGTAATGTGCCTGGGAAGGCAGTAGAAGAAGGCCCAAGTGCCTGGGGTCTTGGCTCCCAGGTGGGAGACCCGGATGAAGTGTCCAGCTTGTGGCTTCAGCCTGGTCCAGCCCTGACTATGATTGACCTTTAGGGAATAAACCAACACATAGAAATACACCTGTCTCTGTCTCTCTCTGCCTTTCAAATAAATAAAATTGAAGCAACAGAAAGAAAATTCCAAAGGACTATACTAATTCAAAGAAGCATTTTTACATAAATGTGTTACTTTGTACTCACCAGCAATTTTGAGGTGTGCATGGAAATGTTTATGTGTCAGCAGGGGCTCAGGCAACTCTCCCAGAAACATCTTCAGCAAAGTGGCGACATCATTAGAGTGGAACTCCCCTGATTCTAGGTCAATATCAGCTCCTGTATTGAGTGCATCCCGTAAAATCTGTTGTCGGACACTGTTGCCTGGAACTCTGAACAAGCCCTCCACTCTCAAGTCTGCTTGCAAGGAAGAAAACAGCACAGGAACAGAAAAGCAAGAAGAGAAATGATTATTCAAATATCTCATCAAAACACTACTGTTCAGTTACAAGACCCAAATGACAGATGTGTCGTCTGTCTTCCAAGGCAAGCTCAAGACTTCAAATCTCACCTGCCCAATGGTCAAACTGAGCAGGGAAAATAAATGGAAAGACAGGCCAACTTGCTCTGAAAATGCCCCTTCCCGCAGACTTGGCAGGGACTGACTTCTGTGCAGAGGCGTATCACGCCTCTCGGCTCTTCCCCTCCAGTGCATGTGCTGTTCTGGGAGATCAGGACTACAGCCCATCAGACCAGCTTTCAGTCTGAGAGCTTCCCATACGCAAGTGAAGAGTCACCCCAAACAACTGTTCTGTCCTTCTAACATCCCTAAGTGTAAGCAGCTGTAGCTCTGGGTGATTGGGCGTTCGCACAGTGATTAAGGTAATGTTAGGACGTCTGCCTCCCCTAAAAGAGTGCCTGCCTTTGAGTCCCAGCTCCACTTCCAGCTGCAACCTCCTGCTGATGGGCACCCTGGGAGGCAGCGTTGATGGACAGCCCAAATTGTTGGATCCCTGACACCCAGGTGCAAGATCTGAATGGAGTTTCAGATGCCCTGCTTAGACTCATTCTGGTTGTTGCAGGTATGTAATGAGTGAACTAGAGAATGTAAAGTGTGTGTGTCTCTGTGTGTGTGTATTTACCTTTCAAATAAATAAAAAAACATAAAGAATAAAAGATGAGCCGTGGGGTTTTTGCCTTGATCTGGACAAAGTGTGAACGTCCCCTGTTTTCAGCTTAGGGACACATTCATCTTTGCATAACTCCCTCATTCAGGAATCCCGCGTCAAATGCCTACAGGAAGATAACCAGCCAGGAAGATAACCATAAAGGAATGGATGAGATCTATACCAAACTGGAAGACAGAAATCTGGGCTTCTGCTGTCAAGGAGCAGCTAGGCCTGAGGATGCCACATCTTCCTATCATCCAACGGTGTCGAAACCTGAACTTAACCTATCTTAAAACACTGATGATGACATATACTTTTTTTTTAAAGATTTATTTATCTTTATTGGAGGCGGATATACAGAGAGGAGAAGAGACAGAGAGGAAGATCCTCTGTCCAATGATTCACTCCCCAAGTGATCGCAATGGCTGCAGCTGAGCCAATCCGAAGCCAGGAGCCAGGAACTCTTCCAGGTCTCCCATGCGGGTGCAGAGTCCCAAGGTTTTGGGCTTTCCTCCACTGCTTTCCCAGGCTACAAGCAGAGAGCTAGATGGGAAGCAGGGCCACTGGCACTAAAACCGGCGCCCATATGGGCTCCCGGCACATGCAAGGCGAGGACTTTAACCACTACACTATTGCACCGGGCCCGACATTTACTTTAAATACAATCTTTGCCAACCAAGCCAAGCATGCAGATGACTCAAGCCCTTATACTGCCAATTGTAGCCTCTGTCTTAGCTCCTAGCACAATGTTCCACACAGAGTAAGTCATAAATGCCAGCCTGGGTGGAATTCATCAAGGAAATATTTTGAATTTTTAGCAAGGCACCATTGAGGTCACCCGTTCCACATCTGCTCAGCTATGCAAAGCACTGAGGCAATGATATGACCAGCAAACTGAGAAAGGAAGTGAAAGCGTACACTAACCATGGAATTCTAAAGATGAAATGTATCCTGTGGCTTTAAATAAACATCACAACTCTCTAGGGACAAAGTATTTTTCCACAGGAAATGTCCCCTTGAGTTGAGATGTGTCATTTCATGGACACTGTCTGACTTACATACATCTTTGAGAGTATAAAACACATCGATATATGAAGTATAAAAGGAAATATACTTCAGAATATATCGCCTGGGCCCGACGCAATAACCTAGTGGCTAAAGTCATCATCTTGCATGCACCAGGATCCCATATGGATACCAGGTCATATCCCAGCTCTCTGCTTGTGGCCTGGGAAAGCAGTCGAGGATGGGCCAAAGCCTTGGGACCCTGCACCTATGTGGGAGACTGGAAGAAGCTCCTGGCTCCTGGCTTCGGTTTGGCTCAGCTCCAGCCATTGAAGCCACTTGGGGAATAAATCTGTGAATAGAAGATTTTTCTCTGTGTATCTCCTTCTACCTGTAAATTTGACTTTCCAATAAAAATAAATACATTTAAAAATATATATATATGTTGCCTAAAATCACAAGTTAGCTCTACCACTGATAATTCAGCACCACCTACTAGTTCAAAGCTGTTAGCACTCAAGCAAAATGGACAATTTTTCATTAAACAGAGAACAATAAAACCTTTTGTAATCTTACTTTTATGCAGATATTCGATTAGTTGGTATATCTGGGCAATGCCTTCCTCTGTCAGTGGGGATCCAAATACCACTCCTTTCTCTGAAAAAATCATGACAGGACACAGGCATATTTTAGAGACAGAGTATGAAATCTCCACAGTTAGAACTACTCAAGCATCCTGCTGGACACTGTAGCTAATGTTTTCACAAGGTCAATAACTAAAAAACCTTCAAACTAAGGTTTTAGGCACACGAGAAGATGCCATCAGAACAACTCCCAGGCAGTTTCTCTCCGAGTTCAGCATCACGCTGTAGCCGCACTGAGGGGGGAACCATCTTGTTATCCAAATAATGATACCCAGCATGTTGAGATTCAGTTTAAAAGCAAAAAGAAACAGAGCCATAGCTATCAAAAACAGGATAGATTACAGAGTCTTATCCGTTAATGTTTAAACATTTTTTTTCTAACATAATGACTTCCTAGAAGTAACAAAATAGTACTTCTTTCATATCTTATCAAAAACAGCACTAAAATCTCTTCATTTTCTGGGAAGGCTTCCCTTTAATGATTCATAGATACCTCTCTTATCAAAGCAATGAAATGAAAACATTTGACAACTACTACAATCAAAGATACTCAAGCTTTCTGTACAGTATCTGTAACACGTAACTGCACTATTATTTCCACACACCATGAACAGGGTCTGAAAATCAAGATACCCTTAGTAACCACCTTAATTAGTATTAACACGATCTAACTACATTTGCTTTAATTCAACTACTTCCTCAGATAGTTGTATGGATTTCTATCATTACTGCTTCAGGTTTTACCATCTAGGAAAATGAATAGAGGGATCAAAAACGCTTCAGGCTAACACTAATCCCTGGTGGACGTGCCAACGCTGACAGTGAGGCCCAGAGCAGTTGAGAACTGGCCACCCTTCGTACACCCAGCTCCTACCCTTGCGCTTGAGAGACATCAGGGACCGGAAGAATCCCGATGCTGAACCAGCCCCACCAGGCAACTTCAGGTCCACTTCCCCCATCAGCTGAGCCAACTCAGTGCCAGGTAAATCGATAAGCCTTGTGATGTTGCTGACCACCAACTCAGTGAACACCTCTGGTTTCTCATGTCGCAGTTTCTCCACAAAAAAGTCAGGATTGAAGATAATTGGCTGACCTCGAAGGGAAGAATCATTGCAGATAACAAAACTGCAGATGGCATCTCTGAAAAATAAAAACAGGAGGTTCTTTGGGGGATCCCTTTTGTCCGTGCTTCTCAGGTCCACACTGTGTTCCCTGGCTCCTTATCTACACAGGCAGACATTTCCTCCTACTCGGTTCCCTTTAACAGACCCCACTGCTCTTGGACTCTGATCTTCACACCCCAAAGGCCTTCACAGAATGGAAGACGCAAGTGCATAAGATATCTCCAGCTGTAGGCAACTGGCCAGATTGCGTTGTATCTAGAAACCTGCTACGCTGCTGGGAGAAAAGCACCCAATAGCTGGTGGGCATCCTGGCCCTAGTTAATGCCAAATTTATGTTAACTATACCATTGTGTCAGTGGTTAAGGCAGTTAAGCCTGGGTCGGGACACAACAATGTGGTCCCCGGAGTTGGGGGGCAGAGAAGGAGAATGGGGGAACTGCATATTTCCCAAGGAAGGGAGTCTGGGATCATACTGCAGTGGGAACAGCTAAGGATACGTTTAACAGGAAGGGAATGACTTCTGGGTTTTTCATAGACCAGGCCACTGTACACACAGGTGGGCGAGAGAGCTGAGACCCGACTGCTCCACCTTCCTTCCAGCTCTCTGCTTGTGGCCTGGGAAAGCAACAGAGGATGATTCAACACCTTGGGACCCTGCATCCACAAGGAGACCCAGAGGAATCTCCCAGCTCCAGGCTTCGGATCAGCTCAGCTGAGGCCGTTGAGACCATTTGGGAAGTGAGCCAGTGGGAAGATCTTTATATATCTCCATATATATGTATTTATATGTATATATATACACACACATATAATATATATATCTGGCTTTTCAATAAACATAAATAACTATAAGGCCCTGTGATGTAAGCCTAGCAGTTAAAGTCCTCACTTTGCATGCACCCAGATATCATATGGGTGCCAGTTCCTTTCCCAGGTTCCTGCTTCCCATCCAGCTCCCTGCCTATGACCTGGAAGAACAGTCAAGGAGGCCCAAACCCTTGGGTCTCTGAACCCATGTGGGAGACCTGGAGGAGGCTCCTAGCTCCTGGCTTCGGATCAGTTCAGCTCTTATCTTTGCGGCTACTTGGAGAGTGAACCAATGGACCCAAGATCTTCCTCTGTCTCTTTCTCTCTGTATATCTGACTTTCCAATAAAAATAAATAAATCTTTAAATAAATAATCTTTTAAAAAAAGGATGCCAATTGGGCACCAACATTCCTATTCAAAATGCCAAGGTTTGAGTATTGCATCAGCTCCCCATTGCAACTTCCTGCTAACGTGCACCTTGGGCTGCGAAAGACGATAGTTCAAGTTCTTAGGTCCCTATTACCCACATAGGAGACCCAGATTGAGTTCTGGGCTCCTGACTTGAGCCTGGCCAAAGCCCGTCTCTTATTGGCATATAGGCATGAATGATTTTTTTTTAGTTGGCATCACGGCCCAGGCAGCTGCCTCAGCGACCTATAAGCTGGTGCTGATTCTGCACAGTAAGAACATCTAGAAACTGCAGAATCACTCCAATGGCTTCTACAATGCTAACCTGATCCCCTCAGCCCACGAGGAGCCAAAGGACAGTACGCAAGTGCTGCAAGATTCAAGCTATGAATTTTCGGGTCCAGCACAATAGCGCTGTGGTTAAAGTCCTCACCTTTCATGCACCGGGATATCATATGGGTGCCAGTTCTAGTCCCGGTGGCCCTGCTTCCCATCCAGCTCCCTGCTTGTGGCCTGGGAAAGCAGTCGAGGACAGCCCAAAGCCTTGGGACCCTGCACTCATGTGGGAGATCTGAAAGAGGCTCCAGGCTTCGGATTGGCTCAGCTGCAGCCGTTGCAGCCGCTTGGGGAGTGAATCATCGGACGGAGGATCGTCCTCTCCGTCTTTCCTCCTCTCTGTATATCTGACTTTGCAATAAAAATAAATCTTCAACTCCCCACCCCCCCAAAAAAAGAATTTTCACCTGCTTCACCTCGGTGCAGAACACAGTGACCTTCCAGACAGTGCTGGAAGCCATTGACCAAATGTCAAGCCCATTGTGAGAACTTAAAGCCTCAACAGGCAACACCATGGGGATGTAACAGGCCTCAGTAAAGTAAAAACTGCTGCCAAACACAGTGAGGCCCAGGTGACGATCTAGAGGCACTCCTATGATGTCCCCTGCTGCCCGTGGAGCCAGGCCACCCCTCCTGCAGCAACATCAGTGATGATGGAGATATGTAGGTCTCAGGAAGGTCTGAAGGACACCACAGCCAGAGCCCTGCCCTTTCGAAATGCAGATTGTGTCCCAGATCAAGAAGGGCACCGGGTTCTGATCACAACCCAGCCAGCAGCTTTCATAGCACTTCAAGCATCTGGGGAGTCTCTCTGAAGAGGCTATCATGGAGCTGAACCTGCCCACCGGTATCCCCATTGTCTATGAACTGGACAAGAACCTGAAGCCCATCAAGCCCATGCAGTTCCTGGGGGATGAGGAGACCGTGCGTAAAGCTATGGAGGCTGTGGCTGCCCAGGGCAAGGCCAAGAAGTGAAGGCAAGCAGGCAGAACATCTCCCTGGGACCTCCCTGCCTGCCTGCCCACCCATTCCTCTGCACCCGTCCCCTACACGTCACACTGACCACATCTGTAGGCACCTTAGGTTGTAGCTGCAGGTGGGGACTGGTGGCCCCTGCTTTCCTCTTAGTCATTCTGTCTCCTGCACCACTCCCTTCACAGTATCTAGTCAGGACAGCAACCATGGGGGCTCTTGTGCAAGCAGAGGGAGGGGCCCTCTATCCCTGCAGTTGAGAGATCTGAAGGCCCCTATGTGAGTGCTCTACTTCCTAAGGGCCTGTTGGAGAAGGAAAAGGGTGGAGCCACGCGAAGGGCTGGCCAAGGGGAGAGCAGGAAGGTCTGCTGTGTTCCCAGGAGCCGGCCCTGGGCCCTTCCACAGGCAGGTGGCTGCCTCAAGAGCTTGGGGGCTTTAGTCATTCCAGTGGAAGGTGAAGAAACCCACCCTGGTGATCACAAAACAAACCCCACCGCTTCCTCCCCGACCTAAGAGGAGCTGGCTCCAGAAGGTTGGGGTCAAGCCAGAAATAAATTAATGTGATGCATTTACTTTTAACAACAAAAAAGTGAGTGTATATGTACATACATAAACCTGGTACTAAACAAAAGCCCCTTGGGGTTCCCAGTAGTGTTTCAAATAGTCTCCCATGTGGTCACCAGAAAACAAGCCATTCCTTGCATCAATATGGGATGAACCTGGCCTCCGAGGGGTAGGAGTGCCTTCCGCGAGTCTCAGGATCCTTCCTGCCTTGTCTTGTGGCAGCGTCCAAGTGTGTCTTGCTGTCTGGTTCTGAATCATGTTTTCCAGCTTCCTGGCCCTGCCACATGAGCTAACAGTACTAAATCTTTCCAGATCAGTGTAATAAAGGATTGCCGTGCAATTTAAAAACAAAACTGCATTATGCTATCTCTGAAGTAGACACATCAATGTTTATGCCCAATATCAATTAACTCTGATGGCTTATTCTAAGCTTTATTATACAGTCAACCATTACATAACCAGGGAGTAAATAGAACAAGCCAGAAAGAACAAGTCATCACATCTCAGCCAGGCAAAGCTGAAACACACCTGACTCATATAAACATTCCCACAATAAAAGCAATCATAACTTAAAAGTTGTCACTATTTCTTAGGCACCAAAGCTCTGTTCCAGGAAAAAATGACATATCCAAATACAAAGTAGAATTTATCAGCTATACCCTTTTCCAACAGTACATAGACAATTTTAATAACAGTTTAATGACACAAGGCATAAGTAAATTTCAAAATTTATCCCTACTTCCCTGAAAAGTTATTTTGCAATTTTAATAAAGAGCCTAGATGTGGGCCCAGCGGCGTGACCTAGCAGCTAAAGCTCTCGCCTTGAACGCGCCGGGATCCCATATGGGTGCCGGTTCTAATCCCGGAAGCTCCGCTTCCCATCCAGCTCCCTGCTTGTGGCCTGGGCCTCGAGGACGGCCCAAGGCTTTGGGACCCTGCACCCGTGTGGAATGCCTGGAAGAAGTTCCTGGATCCTGGCTTCGGATTGGCATAGCATCGGCCGTTGGGCTCACTTGCGGAGTGAGTCATTGGACGGAAGATCTTCCTCTCTGTCTCTCTTCCTCTCTGCATATCTAACTTTCCAATAAATACATAAATCTTTAAAAAAAAAAAAAAGAGCCTAGATCTTCAGATTGTTACACTTGTTTTCTTCTAATCTAACATTAAAATATAAGTAACCACATAAAAAATTCAAAATTATGACTATATGGCCTCAAGCCAAAAAGTCACTAAAGGAAGACAACTTAAAATGCTTGTCTCCTTACCTTTTACAACTAGGATAGGGTATTTTTCCTGCATAAACATAAAGATGCCAATGATTATGAAACAAGCCAATTAAATTCAGAAGCAATCTCATCTTAAACTCCTGTTTACAGTCTCTTTGTTGTTGTTGCTGTTAATGTTAGCTTACTTCAGCCAAGAAACAAGAAACAATATAAAACTACTGCTGTGCCTAACACAATAGCTTAGTGGCTAAAGTCCTCACCTTGCATGCATCATGACCCCATATGGACACCTGGTCATGTCCCGTCTACACAAATTCCCTTCTAGCTCACTGCTTGTAGACTTGGAAAGTAGTAGAGGATGCCAAATGCCTAGGGATCCTGCACTCGCATGGGAGACCTAGAAGAAGCTCCTGGCTCCAGGCTTCAGATCAGTTCAGCTCCAGCCATTGTGGTCACTTGCACAGCGAACCAGCATTTGGAAGCTCTTTCTCTCTGTCTTTACTTCTACCTATAAATCTGACTTTCCAATAAAAATAAACAAATTTAAAAAAAAAAACTGCTGAAAATTCCTGCCACACAGAAATCACTACTTCACTGAGCAAGCTAGAAAACCATGAAATGTGCTAGCACCAAAACAATCCTACAATTAAAGTCTAAACTAATAACTATACTATAAAACATATTCTTTCCAATTCTGAATAACTGACTTCAAACTTCAGTCCTAACATACAAACGTGTAGGAATAGCATCCACCACATTCCGAAGCAGAAACTGACAGAGAGAATGGAGCTGGAACAAAAGACCCTAGGCTAACTGTCCCCATGGAATCTATCATCCCAGAAACTGCTCCCTCCTCAGGGAATAGCTTAGTAAGGCCTCCTCAGGGAAGGGAGTAACACATTTATGACTGTCTCTAACTAGATGCAAGAAATGTAAGAAGATACCTTGGGAGTCCTGGCACGCAGTAACATGCAGGTCCCCGTTTTCTGTCCCCTCAGGTTCTCCGCCCTCCCTCCCCTTGTTCACTCACCCTGATATGTCACTTTCTCCCTCCCTTCCAGCCTCCTCCTCAACTTCTGTGTCTGTAGCATCTCAGAAACAGAAATGGTTAAAAGAAAGGGAAAATAGAAGACAAGAGATGAAAAAGACAGAGCATGTCTTTTTTTTTTTCCACATTATCCGATATCACAAAGCCTACTAATCCCTTTCCAAAAACAACACAACACCACAACCCAAGCATAAAGCTATCAAGAAGCATGCTGGGGAACTAAACAGATTCCTAGGTAAAGAAAAGACTACTATTCAAGCTAAAACAACTTCCTAATCTATAATATTTTTTAAAAGCCTAAATTCACTTAAATTCAGGAAAAAAGTAAATAAATTTCTTACATAAATGCTGAAAGCTTCTGATGAGGCATTGGTAAACCGAAGAGACAGGGAAAAAAGCTTTCTTCTTGTTTGTGGTGACAAAGGAACTCTCCTCTCCCTGCCCCAGCACAGCCTACCCGAATTCCAGCATGTGGGAAGATACAAGGGCACATTATGGGGCCTGAAAGGCAGTACTTTAAGACTCTGATCATTCATCTGCAAGCAGGGACAAAACAGACATAAAAATCTGGACCAGTTAGCTGTATTTGCCAACACACAGACAAGGCTGAAGAGCTGAGTCCCATTACCACAGAGTCATACTGGATGAAACAATCGCAGAATTAACAGCACATGGACGGCAGGCTTGACAATATGAGGGGAAATGATCCCTTCCTCACATCATACACAAAAATAAATTCCAGACATAATGAAGGTCGAAATAGGACAGCCAAACTGTAAAAAATGTTAAAAAGCAGTGCAGAAAGAACTAACAAGGCAGAGGGTGTCTTCTTCTTCTTTTTAATTTTATTTTTGATGATGTTTACATAGTAGATCAGGGTGGAAAGAGTCAAGGATCAGGGGAAAGTGGACAAGACCAATGTTTACACATTCTTTTTCTTCTTCCTGTATCTGGGGAAGGAGAAGGTACAATGGGAGAGACCACGCCCAGCCTCTCCAGCCCCGATGTTATCCCAGGGCCCTGCCCATGTGGAGCATGTTCTCAGGGTTCTGCATAAGTGATTTTGACAGTTCTGAGATGCTGTTGATATCACCACTCCAAGGATGAGGAAATTCTTCCAAGGTCAACTGGCTCACATAGTTCACCTCAGAGTCTCCTTTCACCCAGAAGTTTGGTGTTAAGTTTCACTGGTATAGTTGATCAATTTGTTCTGCCTTCCTTCCTCTGCAAACCAATGGGTGCTACACTCCAGCCCAACCCTGCCCACCACGCGTTCTGCCCTCATGTACCACAGAGGGAGCTGAAGCCCAGTCAGAGTGACTCCCAAAACCCCCACTGGGCTGGATCCCAGCTCTGGTTCCTGTGCCTGCCAGCATGTGCAGTGAACTGGTCCTGTCTGTCCCACATCCCATTCAGCTCTCATATACATCATTGGGCGTTGAAGCCTAACTCAATCCAACCAACTCTACCCTCTAGCCCACACTAGTGCCAGAGGGTGCCACCACCTATTCAACCAGGCCCACCCTCAGTCCTGGTTCTCTTGGTTACCAGTAGGAGTTGCAGTCCATCAGAGAGGTTCCCACAGTCTCACCAATGGACCCATTCCCTGACCCAGAGCTTGCACACTCTAGGTGGTTCAGCATTCTAGCTTGACAGGACTTGCCCTAAGTCCCAGCACTTGCCAGTTGATGCTACAGCAAAGCCCAACCATCCTGTCCTTATTCCGGCTCATACCTGTACCAGTAGATATAATTGGTTAGCCCAGCCTGGCTCTCCCCCGAACCCAGTTCACGTGTGGGCCAGCAGGTGTTGTAGCCCTGACCAGCCTGGTCTGCTCCCAGCTCTCGCACTCACCAGTAGGAGCAGTGGCCCAACAGGGGAGTCCCCACTACTCTCCTACCAGGCTCACCTACCTCCTGTCATCTCACATGCAAAGTGGGAGCAGCAATCCAGTTTGGCATGGCCCATTTCACCTCGGCATTTGCTGGCAGCTATTACAGCCAAGGCAGAGGATTTCTTAAGACTAATAATAAATATTTCCACAGACTAATAATAAGTATTAGCCTTAACTATATTAGTTAACTACATTAAAATGCAAAACTTCTGTGTAACAAGTGGTATTATAAACCAAATTTCTAGAAAACAGGGTCACAAAGTCTCTGAAGAGGAACTGGATGAAACCAGAACAGGAGTGGGGAAGAAACATTCATTGTGTTCTTTGTATTTTCTCTATTTTTATTCATGTGCACATAAATAAATAAATGTAAGGCCTTACCAGTAATAGTAAAAGATAAATCAGAAACTAGAAAAAGACCTTTGCCATGAGTAAAACTAACAAAGATTAATAATCAAAATTTATCAGTAAGCCTAAAAAGCATTAAGAAAATACACTATGAGGGGCCCTGCAAGGTAGCCTAGAAGTTAAAGTGCTCGCTTTGCACGCACCAGGATCCTGAGGCACTGCTTGTGGCCTGGAACAGAAGTAGAGGATGGCCCAGAGCCTTGGGATCCTGCACTCATGTGGAAGACCCAGAAGAGATTTTGGGCTCCAGGCTTCGGATCAGCTCAGCTGCGGCTGTTGCAATTACTTGGGGAGTGAATCAGCAGATGGAAAATCTTCCTCTCTGTCTCTCCTCCTCTGTGTATAGCCTACTTTCCAATAAAAATAAATAAATACTTAAAAATAATAACTCAGGCACAGAAAAGCAAATTCTACCACATGTTCTCATTTGTGGAAACTAACAGTTCCACAGAAGTAGAGAACAGAATAGCAGTTACCAAAGCCTGGGAAGACCAGAAGATAGTTAACAGGTGCAGGGGCACAAGTAGACGAGAGCAATAACTTCGAGTTCTCCAGCACTGTGATGATACACAGTGAAACACAGTACAGTGATAAGTACAGTGACAGGCTCCAACCACATGCACTCATGACTAAAACTCATAAACAATGATGAACACAAAGAAGACGTACACACAGGCGACTACATACTAGATGGTACTGACATCAAATTTTAACAATAGGTGCCGGTGCTGTGGCTCAAAGGGCTAATCTTCCACGTGCTAGCACCAGCATCCCACATGGGTGCTAGTTTATACCCCAGCTACTCCAGAATCCAGAAGAAACTCCTTTCTCTTGGCTTCAGAGCGCTCAGCACCAGCATCGCAGCCATCGATAACAGGAGTAAAGATGTATTCACCAGAAAGTTCTGAAGAGATTACCATTTATGGGTACAGATAAAGAGGAGGCGTGAGGGCATCAGAAGTAGTTTTGGTCTCAATTTCACTGCGACCTGATATAATGTCATAGAAGGATAATTGTCGCATTCTAGGAGTTTTTGCAGAGATGGCCAACACCAAGAGATTAGCCGCTGGGCACACAGAGAGCTCAGGCTCCATACAACTACCTCGAAGAGCAGAGAAAATTTCTCAGTAATTTTCAGTCATCTTCCTAGAGTCACAATTACTACTTACACCACCAGATGGAACTCTTATAGGTAAGGTAATACTCTTAATATAAACTGAAAACAGAATCCACGGCTAAAAAATCGATTACAGAGTGCTTTTTGTAATGTTGGACCCATGAATTTGCAGAATTCAAGCAGTGGGGAAAAAAACTCTGTATCCTGCAGATGTATCTTTTGGCTGACTCCAAACAAAACTGCATACCTACAAAACTAAACATTTCCTCCCTAGAGAACTGTTGAACTTGATTTGTTCTCTAAGAACCACAACCTTGGCAGCACTTATCAAAATAGAGTTCTATTTAAAGTTGTCTTAGCTGGGCTTACCCTGTGAGCATTGCATGCACTCTCTTACTGCTCTCCAACCCTAGAAGGCTTGGGGAAAAAATGTGTTTAAATGTATCACTTACTGGAATGCAGTTAGGTAAGGAACACATACAAGCATAAAAAAAAAAAAAAAAAACAACCAGTAAATTATTCCATCTTTCTACATACCACATTGAAATTGGCATCATACAAGTTGCAATAAAAGTGAAGATGTAAGTGGGCCAAGAACCTAAATTGGCAGGTTCTGTATACCCAAAACAGTTCAGAATTGGCAAGTAGTAACATAAGTTTTCAAGGAACAGTATCCAATCTTTTGTTTTTCCAGATCAACTGACTGGTTGACTGATCTGAAAAGCAAAATGACAGAGAGGTCATGCACTCACTGGTTCACTCCCAAATGTACGCCAGCAGCTAGGAATTCCATCCAGATCTCCCAGGGGAATAGTAGAGACCCAGGTACTTGGGCAACCTGCTACTCCTGGGCATGTTAGTAAGAAGCTAGATTTGAAAATGGAGGTGTGACTTGCTCCCAAGCACTCGGATACGGGACATGGGTGTCCCAGGTCGGGGTTTAACTTGCACCTTCACCCACTGTACCACAATGCCTGCCTCTGATTTATTCTCATCTTTGTCTCCCATCTCCCTGCAGTCCCCAGACGTCAGGGGACCCAGGTCGCCCTCACTGGGTCCAGGGTTGAGAGGAGTACCAAGCAGTCGGAAATAAGGTAAGTCCAGTTTGGTCTGAATAAAGAGAAGGAACCTCGTGGGCTGGGTGGACAGATGCCACCAATCCCTGACCCCTGGGAACACAGGACTGGCACAGTCCAGGCCTTCGGGCCGGCAGCACCATTTCCAGGGTTAGCCACTTAGCTAATCAAAGCCTTTACTATTGGGGTGTTTCTGAGTATCCAACCCTGCGATTCCTGAACCACATCTGAACTTGGGGCTCCTTCAGGTTGCACTTGGAGGGTAGAGCCACCTGATCCTTACAGTTCACCTTCAAGTGTTCCTCTGGCTGGCAATGCTGTACCACATCGCAGACCATGTGCAAGGGCCTGCTGAGTCACCAGTTCTGGCACTGCCGCTCCCGCTCTGTTCCTGCACAGCTGAATCCTACCCAGCTTCAGCATTTACCTCAAATCCCAGCTCTCACGTAAGGGTGAGAGGTTCTCTCCTACTCTAACATCCTCTTTTTCTTTTTAAAGATTTATTAATTTACTTGAAAGACAAAGTTACAAAGAGAAAGGAACAGAGGAAGATCTATCCACTGATTAACTCCCAAAATGGCTGCAGTGGCCAGAACTGGCCCAGGCCCAGGCCAGGAGTCAGAAGCTTCATCCAATCATTACATGGATGCCAGGAGGCCAATCAATTAGGCCATATTTTCCTGCTTTCCCAGGCCATTAGCAGGTAGGTAGACTGGAAGTGGAACAACCTCGACTCAAAGTGGCATCCATATAGAATGCTGGTGTCACAGGTGGTGGCTTAATCCGCTTTGCCACTAGACCAGTCCCTATTTCTAAATTTTTAGTCTCTATTGTCTTTATAATGAATTTGCCAGTTAATAATGTTGTATCATCTTTTGTGTTATAGTTTTTAGCTACTGTTGGAAATCTTTCAGTGGGATTGACATTTGCTGTAGCAATTAAGATGACTCTTGTGGAAGCCAACATAGTGGCACAGCACGTTAAGACTCTGCTTATGGTACAGACATTCCATATAGGCATCAGCCTGAGATTTGGCTACTACACTTCCTTTCTGGTTCCCTGCTGGTAGCCTGGGAAAGTAGCAGAGGATGGCCCAAGTCCTTGGGTTCCTATATCCATGTTGGAGAGCTAGAAACAGCTCCAGATTCCTGGCTTCAAATCAGCCCAGCTCCAGCCTGCACAGTCATTAGGATAGTGAACCAGCAGCTGGAATATCTCTGCCTTTCCTTCTCTCTCTGTAATACTATCAAATAAAAAATGTTAAAAAAAATTAATCATAGGGCCTGGCGCGGTGGCGCAAGTGGTTAAGTCCTCGCCTTGCCGCCCAGGATCCCATATGGGCGCCAGTTCTAATCCCGGCAGCCCCGCTTCCCTTCCAGCTCCCTGCCTGTGGCCTGGGAAGGCAGTCGAGGACGGCCCAAAGCTTTGGGACCCTGCAGCCGTGTGGGAGACCCAGAAGAGGCTCCTGGCTTCGGATCGGCATAGCATAGGCCGTTGCGCTCACTTGGGGAGTGAATCATCGGACCGAAGATCTTCCTCTCTGTATATCTGCCTTTCCAATGAAAAAATAATAAAAATAAATCTTTAAAAAATAATAATAATAATAAAAATAAATCTTTAAAAAAAAAAATTAATCATAATGCCTTTTAGGATGCCCACATCCTAGACGTAACATGGTTAGGATCGTAGAATATTGAGTATTTCTGGCTGATTAAAAGGATGGATACTGCTAAGAATGTTCAATACATGAACTTATGTAGAAATGATTAATAAGTCATGTGCCAGGGCCCAGCACGATAGCGTAATGGTTGAAGTCCTCACCTTGCATGCCAGGATCCCATATGGGCGCCAGTTCTGGTCCCAGAAGCTCCACTTCCCATCCAGCTCCCTGCTTGTGGCCTGGGAGGGCAGTCGAGGATGGCCCAAAGCCTTGGGACCCTGCACCCATGTGGGAGACCCGGAAAGAATTTCCTGGCTCCTGGCTTCAGATCGGCATAGCATCGGCCATTGCACTCACTTGGGGAGTGAATCATTGGACGGAAGATCTTCCTCTCTGTCTCTCCTCCTCTCTGTATATCTGACTTTCCAATAAATAAATAAATCTTTAAAAAAAAAAAGTCATGTGCCAGAGCAGACATAAGAGCTGACTCTAGAATAGTATGTAATACACTTTAGTCTTATAAAAAATGGCTTTACAAGTAATCTTTTAGAACTAGATCACAGTTCCCATTTCCCAAGACTCAAGTATCTTAAAGTGTGTTGGAAAAAGATAGGTTCATGAATCTTTGACTACTTTTCTGAGAGGAAGCAGCTTTCAGATAAATGGTAAGAGGGAGATTATATTGTCAGCAAAGAATCCTCCACAACTCCAATAAAATCAGGAATTTCAGTGTTATTTTCATGAAACAAGTACACAAGTAACTTTCAACTCATTTTGCACCAGCTTTGGGGAGAAAAATTAAGGGAGATTTAGAGACTGTGGGAAGAGATGGCTCTTCCATCTGCTGATTCACTCCCTAAAGGGCAATAGCCAGGGCTGGGCCAAGCAGAAGGCAGGACCTGGAACTCCCTATGGGCCTCCCACATGGGTGGCAGGTATCTAAGTACTTAACACATCCTCTGCTGCCTTCCCATACACGTTAACAGGGAGATGGATCAGAAGAGAAGCGCTCAAGACTTGAACCAGCACTCCAATTGGGGATGGAGATGTTGCAGGTGGCATTTAACTACAGTGTTCACCCCAATGTAAACTTTTGAGACATCTAAGTGATTACAAAAAAATCAAATACATCAAGAAGTAAATAAACTGGCATTATTGACAACCTGAAGAAGTACAAGCAATCTTCAAAAAGTTAATGGGAAATGAATATTATAAGAAAATCATGTATAGATTTCAAATTTTTTGCAACAAAGTAAATTAATCTTTTTATTCCATTTCCCACAAACTTTTTGGAAGAGTCCTTGTACAATTACCTTTTTAAAAAGGATTGATTGATTGATTGATTGACTGATTGGAGAGGCAGAGTTTATGGAGAGACGGGTAGAGAGACAGAGATCCACCATCACTGGCTACAGCCAGGACTTGGGATCTTGCACGTCTCCATGTGGGTGAAGGCAAACAAGGACTGGGGGCATCTCCCACTGCTTCCCCAGGCCACCAGCAGGAGCTGGATCAGCCAGGGGCCTGTGCAGTGATCCAGCATGCAAAGCCTCTACCTGCAGTGCTGGTAACCCATGTGGCACAGGTTGTGGGTCCGGCTGCTCTAGATCCAACCCAGCTGCCTGCTAGACGCCTGGGAAATCAGCAGAGGATGGCTTAAGACCTTGGGCCCCTGCAGCCATGTGTAAGACCAGAAGAGGTACTTTTGGCTCCTGACTTTGGACTGGCTCAGCTCCGGCCATGGTCGCTATTTGGAAAGTCAAGCAACAGATGGAAGATTTCCATCTCTCCCTCCTTCTTTCTCTCTCTGACTTTAAAGTATAATAAATATCTTTTCTTTTTTAATGCAGGAGAGCTTTCCCGTTCCCTGCTTATGGCCTAGGGAAGGAATGGAAGATGATGCAAAACCTTGGGCCCCTGCACCCACATGGGAGACCCAGAAGAGGTGCATGGCTCCTGGATCAGCTCCAGCTGTTTCAGTCATTTAAGGACTGAACCAGCAGATGGCAGATCTCTCTCTTTTTTTCTGTAATTCTGCCTCTCAAATACAAATAAATAAATCTCTTCCAAAAAAAGGCACATAATGGTTTAGGTAAGGTAAAAATTTCCATAAAGAACTTAATTCCATAAAGAACTTAACTTGCCACAGTAGCCTAGTGGCTAAAAAATTCACCTTGCATCCACCAGGATCCTATATGGGCACCAGTTTGTGTCCCAGCTGCTCCATTTCCCATCCAGCTCCCTGCTTGTGGCCTGGGAAAGCAGGCAATGACATCCCAAAGCCTTGGGACCCTGCACCCACATAGGAGACCTGGAAGAAGCTCCTGGCTCCTGGCTTCTGATTGGATCATCTCCAGCCATTGTGACACCTGTGGAGTCAATCAGTTGACGTCTCTCCTTCTCTCAGTAAATCTGACTTTCCAACAGAAATAAAATTAATTAATTAAAAAGAACTTACAAGTTGAAACTGCAATAACACTACATACCTCATACATCAGTCTGTCTCAAAAAAGAAAACACAGATAAAGAACAACTCCAAAGTTAAATGTCATGTAGCAGCCTTGCTTCAGCCTCTCCATCCAGGCAACTGTCATTCCATCTGGAATGTACAGACTTGTACAAGCTCACAACCAATCTGTGAGCATCAATGTACCAGACAAACGTACCGGCCCTTCCAATTTGTTTCTGCCCCCAACACCCCGTCTCATCCACCACAGTGTCTGGATAGTTTTCCACAGAATAGGGCTAGGAAGTTCTATGGCAAGGCAGGCATGGAACTTAGAAACAAGAGGCTCCTTTGCCTCACTGTCTGTCTCTCGCCCATCACCATCTACTCTAACAGAGCTGGAGCCGTTGAACGTGTTTCCTTTGCCAGATGGCACGATGTCAAACACTACCAGCAATGGGCACTGGGGAGATACGGCAGGAAGAAGGGCCCTTCCCTTTCTGTCAGCAGGATCTCCCCCAGACAAA